CTCTTCCCAGTAACATTCAATAATGCTTGGTGAGTAGCCTTTGATTCCAGAAAACCGTACAGGTTATGAACGTCATACTCCACAATGCCACCAAAATGTTGGGCTGTTGCTGGAACAGTCCTCTCATTGATCGCCCTCTTGTTTCCGGAGTTATTAATCTGGTAAGGAGGGTTGTCGAGGGTGGAATTTGAATCGGAAGGAGATGTTATGAAATTTGACGGTTCATTCATGTCAATCCAAAGACCATCGAATTGAATGGTCTCTCTGAACATATTGATCTCACTACTCCAAAAGGCTGTGGTGGCTGGGTTTACAAAGTCAGGAAAATATACATTCCCTGGCCAAACTTGTCCTTGATAAGGCACACCGCCACGCTTGATGTAAATATCAGCTTCAAGCCCTCTCTTGTAGGTGCCATATGACTCGTTTATACCAATCCCTGGCAATTTATTTATTTATGAAAATTGAAACTAAATTAGGAGCAGGAATGATTACTTAGGTTAAGTATCTCCAACTAATGCTTATCCGAATTCTAAGAACAGGTTCATTATTTGACTTGAAGAGTTCAAATTTGGACCTTTGAAGTGTTAATTGATCATAATAAACTCCGGCTTCCCCAAAACAAGCTTATAATCTAATTATGACAGTTAAGAATGTTACATACTCATTCAGAAATTAAAAATGATCAATCACACATTCATTTACTTAATATAAAATTAGTTTTTAATCTTACCTTCTACTTTTTATATACTCTCTAGTGTCTCCTATAAATCAATATCGCTACAATAGTACAACTTTCTTCATAAAACCCTGGAAACTCCTACTACTGAAGCATTGAGAGAGGATAAATGTTACTAGTATATAATTATTTGTATGTATAATGTATAGGTAAGAGATTTACATTAGAAACCTAATTCTCACAATGTGAATTTAATTCGTGAGAGGGATAATTGTCAACTTGATCTGACCTGGATCAACAATCACAACATATTTTTGGGAATTCTTATGAAGCCGATCAACAAACGCTTTCATCCTATCAGCGGGGAAGTTCACTGGATCCAAAGTGAAATCCTTGTAGGCATCCATGTAATCAATATCCGTCCACATAACCTCAAGTGGTATTGAGGCGTTTGCATAGCCAGCGACTACACCTTCAAGGTCATCGACATCCTTGTAACCATAACGGCACTGGTGGAATCCTGCAAAGGCAATTCCAATCATGATCAGTCTCTATGGTAGAGAGCTTTGCTTGTTTACAATGTTCTAACCAGCATGCGGTTCTAGAATCTTCTAGACATGCTACAGACCGAGGTCTAGTCCCTAAACATGGCTTGAGCTTAAAGATTACATCCTTCGTGTTCAGCTTTCACAGATACAAGTGAAAAAGGAAAGAGGGTCTAAAATATATATACTCAAAATACTGAAATAGTGAAAAATGATTAGGCGGGTGAATTGAAGTCAAAATAGAAACAGGATAATAAAACCAGAGCGGTTAAATAGGAGTACTAACCAAAAGACCAGTAAGGCATAGGGGCAGGACGGCCGATGAGATCGGTGTACTGATCCAAAACCAGCTCCGGCGTGGGACCCGGGAAGAAATAGAGGTCGAGGATACCGCCGATCGCCTTGTACGTGATCCTGTCGCCGGTGTACACGACGTCCATGCCGTTGCTATTGAGAAGCAAGACGCCATGGGCGGCTCCGGACGAGCGGAGGTCCAGGTAAAAGGGGTGGGATCCATACAGATTGAGGTCGCGGTTGAAGCTAGCGATATCAGCCGCCCAGAGCGTCAAGGTCTGAGGGCTCTGGAGCTTGAACGTTCCCTTCGTGTGCTCTCCGATCCCGTACAGAGACGAGCGGTTGGATGGCAGTGAAGAAGACAGCTGTAGGTACTGATCCTTGAAGATCAATAGCGTTTCGTTGTTAGATCCGTTTGTTGTCGGTGATGCGTCGAAGAGGATGTCCTTTGAGGATTTCCGGTGGACGGAGAAGCCGAAAGGGGTGGTGTTGAAGAGACTGAAAACCAGATCTGAGGTAGGGTGAGTGATGGATAATCCGTCACTAGTGTTCTCTCCCTCCGATAATGGTAATGCAGATGAAGAATTTGCTGCTTTCCGGGGTATGAACTCTTCTGGGATTTCCCATCTCTGCTTATCTGCATCTGTGATCTTTACTCTCAAACGGCCTCCATTCTCAAAGCTGCATCCAATAACGCATTATCACTTGATTGATGAATTAATATCCACTTGATTCATAACAAAATGATCAAAACTCAAATTGTGTGTAGTTTGAATCTAGTTTGAACTTGTTTACCTAGTATATTGTCCCGAAAAAGGGTGACACGATTATTAAGAAAAGTAGGTTTGTGTGGTTAATATTAATTGATAAAGTAAGAATAAAGTAAGAATGATTTAGAGCCACACAAACTTTGCCAAAACATGTGACAATTTAAGTGTGACTTCCCGAAAATGTAAAACGAGACAATATAAATGGAACGGAGGGAGTAAATAAAAATGGAATAATGGATAAAAATAATCCTAACTATTGATTGATTCAAATAATTCAAAGTAACAATTATCTCAAAATAATTTCAACTATTGAGAAATCATTTAAAAGTACTCAACTTGCTCATTATTTATGGATAATCATAAGTCACCGGAGTATTTTGAGAAGCATTTTAAATAGTTGAGATTATTTTAAAACGATACTTTGAATTAACTGATTATACTTGTTCAATTTCCAATAAAAAATGATCTTGACCGGTTGTCCCTACAATTTAAATTTAATTAAATAAATGATCAACTGTATAATTTAAATTTTATTCATCTATGTGTCACATCAAAATTAGTTGAATGAAAGTAATATTATTTACAATAATCAATATGCAGAAATATATCTCCATTTATTTATAACAAAACTGTTGGACTCATAGTAAAAAATGCTTCCATTGATCATTATCATAATTTAGTTGACAAGAAATTGAACACATTTGAGACTTGACTTCTCACCTGGCAACAAGGCTCAGATTCACAATGTCTGGTCCAAGAACAGAAGAGTTCTGGATGACTTGAAGCCGAGCAGTCAGCGACCGGCCGGAACCATCAACGACCGACGAGATTACTTGATACCCTGATCCAATCTGTCCCTGGTCTTGGGCATCTGAAGGTGGAGTTGTATGAAGAAAAAATGACAAAATGTAGAAGAAATAGCATACTCTCTTGCTGTTCACGGACATGGTTATGGAAGACTAGGCTAGACAATGAAAAACCACTAAATTCTTACACTATTTATACCCGATTGATGGCATGTGCTAATAAATATTTCAGGCCACTTTAGGTTACTAAATAAATTTCGCTTTGATGGTAGAATAAAATTTAAGAAACGTATACTATATATGTTTCATCAATCATTAGAAATTTATTATTATGATGATTAAGCCAAGAGAATAGTACGTTCTCAATGACAAATTATCATTATTATATTATTATATTATTATATTTTATTTTATTGGAAATGTGTTGAAAAAGTAATGATCATTATAATTTTTGATATGTGGTAGTCGCTGAAAATACATTTAACTTCAAACAATAATTAATCAATTTTTTTAAATGAAATTAAAACACAGTGAATGTTCTTTTAAACTTATTTTGAATTCTTGGTAACCCTATTTTCAACTGACCACTCATATCGGTCAATTTATTTTACTAAATATAATGTTTTTGATTTTGCACTTTAAATCATGTAATATAACACTAATAAGTAATGTTTAAGTTATTTTCATAGCCGAAATGACATAAATTTACCGCAAAAGACTATTTTAGTTACATTCAATATTTCAACAAAGATGTCACAAATTCGATCTAGCAGATAGATATAGACAAATACTGCAGATGTTTTCTTTTGGACTGAAATTTGCTGGTCTGGTCTGATCTGATTTGGTCTGGTCTGGTCTGAACTGGTCTAGTCTGGTCTGGTAAACGTCTGGTCTCTGTATATTTTATAACTACGGAAGTCTGGTCTGGTCTGAACTGGCCTGGTCTGGTCTGGTAAACGTCTGGTCTCTGTGTATTTTATAACTACGGAAATCTGGTCTGATCTGATCTGGTCTGATCTGGTCTGGGACTGAAAACAGTCCAAAAGAAAAACATCTGTTCATTTTTTGAATTCAAGAAACCAAATCATATTTTTGACATTAAATATGGTATTACTGTAAGGGGGCGTTTGGTATGATGTAAAATAATTACTTTGCGCGAAATGTAAGGACATAAAATGTTTATACCGTTTGGTTTGATTATTTAATCCAAACTGTAGGACACTTTCTTAAAACATTTTGCACGGTACCATGTAAAGTATTTTACTTGGGGAGATGGTAAAATACTTTGCATGCCTTTTATGAAGCGCTGTAATGACTTTGCGTGCAGTTTAAAAATAAATTACACATCTAGCCAAACAATGTAATCTATTTTACATGCAAAATGATTGATTCCCTATACTTTGAATGCAATCACTTTGCGTGCAAAAAATTAACATGTAAACTACTAAACGAGCCCTAAGTGTGAACACTTTCCATATTTTTCAACTAAGTTATTTGCAATGACACAATTTATTTATTGCTAATATAATCTAAAAGAAAATTATTTGTGAAATGATTTAGGATGTTTTCTTTTGAATTGTTTTCAGTTCCAGACCAGACCAGACCACACCAGACAAGACCAGACTTCCGTAGTTATAAAATACACAGAGACCTGACGTTTACCAGACCAGTGCAAACTAGACCAGACCAGATTAAATCAGACCAGCAAATTTCAAATCTAAATGAAAACATCCTTAATTAGTTAATTCAATACATATTCCGTACGAAATACAAAATATGAACACAAAAGTAGACCAGTGCGGCTGCCACGTAAGACCCTTGCCTCCGTCCATGTCCTATCAAGAACTTTATCCGATTTTCTGTATAAAGGAAAGGAAACTATATCATCACATTAAATGTGAATGATTGAAGGATTGCGTGCTGGCTCCTAATTTCATTCACATTCGCAATTTCGCATTACTATGAAGTGTACAAGCGAAAGAAAAGCCACTACATAACTTCTTTCCTTTGAAGGTAAATGTTTCTTACGAGTATTAATTTTCTTTAATTTCTGTTCCAAATTAATCACAATAAAAATATGAGAAAGTTCCCGAAATAGAATTAAAATAGTTTGGAAATTCCAAAATAGGACTACTATGTTTTTATTTCCAAAATAGGAGTAATTACTGTCATGTTTGGAAAATATTGTCATGTTTGAAGTCTGGTACTGCCAAAATATGACAGTAATTAGTCCTATTTTGGGAATAAAAACATGACAGTCCTATTTTGGAATTTTCAAACCTTTTTAGTCCTATTTCGAGTAATATCTCTAAAAATATTGTGTGTAAATAATTTTGATACGGAGTATTTATTAAGAGAATATGATGAAAAATCAGGTACATGTAAATGGACGAAGAATTAAAAATAGTGAAAATTTGTTAATTTGTTATCTTAATTTAACGGTGGTCGAATTAAATACTCCATTTGTTTCTACGAATTGTCTGACTTTCCTTTTTATATTGTTTCAAACTAATGTCTCATTTTCTTTGTGATAATCTACCTCAAAATAGTGATAATGCACTTTATAAAGTGTATAATGTTGTAACACTACCAAAAGATCATATTTTTAAATTGTCAGCTCCCTAAGAGCATATCCATCTATACTACTTAAATATTCAGTTTTTATGTTTTTCTCTTGTTATATAATTACCACATAGGTAAAATCAAAGATCGCTAACCCCATCAATCGTGATCTCTATTTATTTAATTTTTAAAGGAGTTTTTTGTCATTTCCAAAATATTAAATGTTATTTAATTTGTATTTTAGTCATTCCAAATATTAAGTTTAAATGTTTATTGAAACTTGGGAGTAATTCTGAATAATCTAAAATTCAATATTTGATAGCAGATTTTTTACCTAAATAATCTTTCAAATTAATCTCATCTACTCCATCCTAATCTTTAAAATGATCTTCCACTTCATTAAGATGATTCCAAAATAATCTCATGAATGAGGATGTCTAACTTGTAAAGTATATGGATGTTTTCTTTTGGACTGTTTTCAGTCCCAGACCAGACCAGACCAAACTTAAACAGACCAGACCAGACCAGACTTAAACAGACCATACCAGACCAGACTTAAACAGACCAGACCAGACCAGACTTCCGTAGTTATAAAAATACACAGAGACCAGACGTTTACCAGACCAGACTAGACCAGTCCAGACCAGACCAGACCAGACTTAACCAGACCAGACCAGCAAATTTCAGTCCAAAAGAAAACATCCTATGTATTATTCCTATAAAACATTTTAGATTATATGAAACGTCTATTGGACAATTAATTAAAAATGAAGTAATTAATTAATGACAACCAAGCATTATGTGGAAACGTAGTTAATAGTATATATCATTATAAATACAATAATAGCAAAGTGAGAACAGAGACAATACATACATATGTATATTAGATTCTTTACCCGTACGTTGCACATGATGCATACGTTATATGTTTAACTATATCATTGGATGATAGTGGGAATATAATGAATAGTTTGACCAACTCGTATTTGCATATGTTAAAATTTTGGGAGGGATTTTTCAGAGGACAAAATTCGACGAAGTTGGAATCACTTCGTACTAACAAAAATATTATTTTATTAGACACATAAATATTATGTTACATATTTGTATTTATAGAATATAATTACACAAGATCCAAGCAATTGAGGAACGCTAAAAATGTTCAAAATGTTATGGATCAAACTTTTGTAAACATCCAATAAGCAAAACCATAGCTTTAAAAATCAAAATATTCACATTGTCACTAGACCCGCCTCCATGAGACCCTAGAGAGAGCTTCAGCTGAATTATTCACCACTGATGTCTCTTCCAAATCAGTCATCTTTTTAAGCCTTGCTTATTTCCTTCTCCAGAACTAGCCATTTATACCCCTTCATTGCATCGGCTATTATTTACTCTTGTGCACGACTCTAACTCCTTGACTTACCATTGATTCGGTTGTCCACGTACCTGAGATCATAGCCTATCTGCATGCAGGGGCGGAGCCAGGGCATTGGGCCGGACTAGGCCGGTACAAAAAAAAAATTTTAGAAAAAAAATTACACGAAATTTTTTACCTTAAAAATTAAGCTATTTTTAAAATTTGGGGTGGGCCATGGCCTAGGTTGGCCCACCCCTAGCTCCGCCCATGTCTGCATGGTCAATAATATCACACGTAACATAAAAATCGAGTAATTTTTCACACCTGAAATCTACCCATAAACATTCCCCGATTGCTTTCACCTTCAAATTCTTCAAAAGAGGTTTCTCTATATCTAGGCAAGCTCGGATTCGCAAATAGGCCCTCCAACGCCCCTCAAATTGATTCTCATCTACCATGACAAACCTACCTATAGTATTACTAATTGTCTTTGCCACCTTCAAAGTCAATCACCATATTGGTCGATTATGCACTTGAATCCGAAAATCTGAAAAAATGTAAAGGAACTTTTAAAGGCAGATCATCGGGTTTTAGCTCATACAATACGAACAAGTTTGATCACACACTCACATACGATATGATATTGAAAGAAACACGCTTCATGTCAGTTTCTTGAAAGAAAGAGAATAAATACCTCTTGTTGCCCATTTTCTTGTTTGAGACTCCCCTACTAGGTCTCATGATTGAGGCAAATACATCATGTAGCTTCGTGAATTTCACCACTTTTTAAGTGATGACAGTGTCCACTTATTCGTCATTGACCTCCTCTTCCAGCACAACCAGATTCACCTCCTTCGCACTGTGGCTAATTGTTCGTAGCTTGTGACCATGTCCTGCTGGCCTGCCATATTGTCTCTATCGCTCCTACTCATCGTCCTTTCATTGGTGAATGGTGATAACCTATTTCTAAATGCATGCCAACCATGTGGTAAAAGAGAACTTAGAAGCTAAGGGATGTAGACTTTCCAGTGAATGTCATTTTGAGTTCTCTTTGGCCTTAGCCGAAGACCCTAGTGGAGGACGTACAACTTGCCAATTGACACACATGTGAGTAAGGTTCTAATGGTGTTAATTCTCTCCCTGCAAATTAAATGCTCCTGCCAACATATGCAGCAGCCATTCAGATGGCCGGCAACGACCAGGATGGTCATTGGTGAACAGATTTATCAACAACATAATTTTTCTTGTTGGTCGACCCTGCTGCCACCGCACCTCACCTCCGATTCGCCGCCGTACTTCGGCCCTGTTGCCTCCGCACCTCGGTGCCGCCGCACGGCCCGCACCACGGTGATATTGCCGCCGCAATTGCTAGCCGGTGGGTACTATTCTCGAAATGTCTCATGGCTTGCTATGGATCGAGTGATCGACGCTTGTTCAAGTCTCATGTAATTAACATGTTCATCTCCATTACTATTTCAGAAACATAACAAAACACGTTAATCGTTTCTTCTAAAGTTTTGGCAATAATTTCATTAAAACGTACATATATAGATACGTCCATACTAAATTTTGATTAATAATTTTTAGTTGTGATGCCTATGCGGTGGACAATTTTCATAATAATTTAACATGATTCGTATAGTTATCTTAATAACACTGCCTTTATAATTTTCTTAATAACATTGCCTTTATGTTGTTGAATCTGCATTATTTTGGACAATGTCATGAAATTACATTGTAAATATTTACTACATTATTTATTACAATGACAAGTTGATAATATCATTATGTGATAACATCGGATAGTATTATTGTTTGAAAATTAATATAAGAACAAAAATGAAAATATATGTATGTCATTGTCTCTATATGACAACATATTATAATTTCATTGTTTAAAAGTCAATGTTATCATATGACAATGTAATATAATGTCATTGTATAAAAATCAATGTCATCATATGCCAACTTTGACTTTCACGTGGATTAATAAAGTAAAAACTGTTGATAGATAGTCTACCCGGGGGTATCTTATCCTAGGGGTTATCGCGGGAATAACTTAGAGAGAAGTCAGAGCAAATAGAAGGAGAGAGAGTCGATTTATTAAATGAACTCGAGATGCCCTTTACAAGGTGAATAAGGGCTGCTATTTATAGCAGCAATAAATGCGATGAGAGTACACGTGTCAGTAATCCAACGGCCGAAGGGTCACATCAGCCGGGTGGCACCGGCAGTGATACGTTTACCGCATTGAATGCGGTTGGCGGATGTGACGTGGTATTAAATGCGGTGGTTGGCTGTCTCCAAAAGGAATCTTCGATGATTGAGTATATTTAGCCGAAGGCTCCTTGTGTAGCCGAGGGCTCCATGTGACAAGGACCCCTGTGTAGCCGAAGGCCTCGTGTGACCGAAGGCTTTGTTCAGCCGAAGGCTTCTCTGATGCCGAGGGCTTGACAATGCCAAAGGCTCATGTTTTTTGCCGTTTTCTCCCAGTAGCTTCTTATGCCAGAGAAGGCTATCCTGTGAGTTTTGGAGCCTTCGGCCAAGGAGGCCGAAGGCACCGCAGTATGTATTTTGGGCTATTTTGGGGCTTGGGCCGTTGCATTTGAGCCTGCGTTGTTCTCTGGGCTCAACGGACTTGTGTAGGAGAAGTAGGAGTCTATGGGCCGGGGGTTCCTGGGCCATATACTCCATCAGGAGTCCCTCACTCCTTTTGCCGAAAGGTACTTGAGGGAAAAGGAGTGGATGTCTTGATTCTTCTGGGGGGCCCATTAGTTAGCTGGGCGCTTTTGCTCGAGAACTTGCCTTCTGCTGATTGCCGGAGGCTTCCCTCAGTCCCTCACATGTCGAGGGTTTTCTGAGGAAAGTATAGATGTATTGCCTGCACGTGTTGTGATGAGGGCTGCTTCATTCCCGCGAGTGACATGGGGAAAACTCTGCCTCCGCCGAAGGGTTTGATGATGCATACATCCGAGGGCTTCATGCGTTGTTCGTAGGTTTCTTGCATGTGGGAATTTTTGTTTATTTTATGTGTGATTCCCGAGGGGCGTGTCCCAGTCCCCCACTCCTTTAGACCAAAGGCGAGTTCGGGCTGAAGGAGTTATGATGTTGGCGTTTACCCCCGAGGGGTGATAACATTGATAAGCCGAAGGTGTATGTTGCGGGTTGCTCGAAGATGCTTGGCGACATACGTCCACCGAAGGCTCTCATTAATAATAGCCGGAGGCTATCGTCCGAGGTTGCCTCAAGAGTTCCAAGATCGAGTCGTTGGAATATGACCGTTGGAAGAGGCCTCCACGTGTCGCTTTGTCGTTGGATGATGGGGGGCGGGTGCCACCCATAGGCTGAGGCGGCGGCCCGTAATGATGGGCTTTTCAAATCGAGGCCCAGTTCTCGAGGCCCATTTGCCTATAAATACTCTGAGCCTGAGCTCATTTGTGCTTGCGCGATTTTGAGAGATAGCGAAGCTCTGGCAATTCGATTCTAGAGAGAGAAAGTTTCCTTTGATCAACCCAAGCTTTCTGAGGTCAGTTCCTCTTCTGTTGCTTTCTTCCTTAACGCGCTTTGCTACTCCTCGCTTTGATCCAGCGTTAGCGATTTTAGGGGCCTTCGGCTAAAAATACTTAAATAGTCTCCTCTTTTAGAACTCTCCGCCTCTCTTAGTATCAGAATGTCCTCCGGTAGCGATTCCCAAAATGTCTTAAAGGAGCCCTCCCTAGGACCTGAAAGCTACTCTGAAGTGGAGTCTTCAACCGAGCAGTCGTCGCCTGGCAATGATGCAGTCGTTGCTGAGGAGATTCAGGGAGTCCTTCGGACAGAGATGGAGGCGGAAGAATTTGAGCAGGTGGTAGAAGACGAGGAGATGGCCCTCGCGCTCCAAGTCGCCGAGGAGGAGGAGGAAAAAGAAAGGCAGCGAGTAGCTATCGCTGTCCTGCCCCCACGTGGTACTGGGGAGGCTAGCAGCTCCCGGCCGCTGAATCCGGAGCCTCTGAGGGTGGCCCCGGGTAAGAAGAAGAGGAAGTTGAGGGCGGTCCCGAAGAAAAAGCAGGCAGCTGTTGACGCTGGGCGACCAGTTGGGATACCCGAGGGGCATTCTTATTTGAACACTGCCGCGCTTGAAGTGACAACAAAAGCCGGGGAGGCTGAGTATCTTAAGACTCAGCTTTTAGTTGGGCCGTCAGCACAAGTGGTAGAGCCGGGTCCGAATGACGTGTTACTGCATCCCCCAGAGGGTTGTTTTGCTGTGCATATCCTCTCGGTGGAGTTAGGGCTCTGGTTTCCCCTCCATCCATTTGTCATGGAGTATCTCCGCTTCGTGAAACTTGCCCCCTGCCAGCTGACGCCAAATAGTCACTCCTATCTGTCGGGGTTCCTCTCCTTATGCCGGAGCCGAGGGGTGAAGCCAACATTAGATCAGTTCTTCTTATCTTTCAACCTCTGTCTAGGGGGGCATTCGCATGCTGGGGGCATTCGCATGCTGGGGGCTTCGCCAACCTCCAACAGGTTCCGGAGTGGAGATTATTCTCGGAGGTTCCTTCCTCCCACAAGAATTGGAAGGATCGCTTCTGCTTTATAAGGATGGCAGAGAATCCTTTCCCTGTTCCCCTTCGGGACCACTTTCGGAGGCACCCGAAGGTGGGAAATGCAGCCCTTGATAAAGAAGGAAAGAAGTTGACAGCTAAGCCGGAGGGATCCGATAAGGTGATGAAGATAAAGGACGCCATCCTTCCGGACGAGTTATATCGGCTTGACTTTAGGCGTTATCGCCTAATCGGAGAGAAGGATGAGAGATATCCTCCCATCGACCGGGGCTATGAAAGCGCCGGAGGTTGTTGCCGAAGGCCCTTTTGCTTTTGTATTTAGCAAGTTTTTTTTTTGTTATCGTAGTTCTGACACTCGTATATTATTGCAGGCCAAATTATGGACGTCAAATCCTTCGCTCATCTGAAGAAGAAGCTAACTAAAGAGCCTTCGAAAAAGAAGGAGGCGGGCGTTCAAAAACCCGTCGACGAGTTTTTCAAGAAGGATGGGGTCGCTCAGGTCCCGGAGGGTGAGGGACCCTCCAAGAATGCTGTTGCCGGCACCGACGCCGAAGTCTCTCGGGCTGAGGAGCTGAGGAAGAAGAGAGCCGGGAAGGGCGCGGTGCTCCCCTAAGGGAAGAAACAAAGGAAGGGGGCCACCGAGGAGAAAAACGCCCCCGTCGTCATCGTCGAGGAAAACTCCTCCTCCGAAGTCCCGGGCCAAACAGCTGAGATGTCGTGGCCCCAGGAGAATGTGCAGTTCTCTATTACCAAGGGGACCGCCATCATGCATGGCACCCTCAACCCGAGGGAGTTCCTGAAGGGTGCCACGCCCCCGACTGACAAGTCAGTGCTTTCGAGGGCCAAGGACGACGCCCTCAGCGCAAAAGTTCTCCAAGCTTCTGTCACGGTAAGTGTTTTTCTTCTCCCTTTTCCCTGAGTTGTTTGGCCCTAGCATATCCTTATCTTGATAACTTAGCCTTTGTTCTGTGATGGTGTTGATTTGCAGGCTGCCCTCGGTCTCGGAGAACTGCTCTAGAGGATGGAGCGATATCAGGCAGAGAAGCGTCAAGCCGATGAGGCCCTGGCAGGGTTATATGTGCCGTTAAAAGCGCTGTTATATTCAAGAATTCATTTGAATGTCTTCCCGATTGAATTTTTATCTGAAATTTGGTATGAGTAAACTAGACTTAATGAATAAGATGCTCAAAACAATTTATCACAAAATTCCACCGGGAGCCACCTCAAATGGCACGTCCGGACAGAATCTTCTATATAAGGACTTATTTGACGCGTTTTTTGCAACTTCGAGGACCAAACTGACCCTTTACTCCATTAGAAAAATGGGAAAATGGTAGAGTAATAGAGGTGAAACAGAACTGCCCAAACGGGAAGAACACTCGCACTCCAAATATCAACCTCTAGGCCATGTTATATGGCACATCTCCAATGCAATCCACAAACATCTATTATTACATAACTCTCTTTAAAGTTGTTAAGGCATCCCACACTGTACAAGTTAGGAAACACGGAAACTCTCCATGGCTCACGTTTCCATGTTTCGGAAACTCGGAAGCGTTTCGGAAACTCAGAAACTTCAAATTCCCATTTTGGGGCCGTTTCCGTAATTAAGAAATATTTGGAAACCCGTTTTACTACGTTTCGGAAACCTCAGATTCCAATTTTTTTTCTTTTTCAAAAGATTCTGTGGTGGAAGATAATTTTTATAGTGAATTTTTATGGTATTTCTTAGCGGCAACACTTGTTACATTTCGTAACGCAATGTATTGCTAGAAATGTATTACTCCGTACATTTTATATTTAATTATGTACTAATATGAAATAATATCTAAATTCAAACGTGTAGAGTGATTTTATTATTTGGTTACTAAACAAATTATATTAAAAACATGTGCATATGGAAAAACTTGTGTACACATATTAAAAAATATTTATAAATATATCCTTATATTTTATACTCCCTCTGTCCCTAAATGAACTTCCAACTTTCCCTTTTCGTCCGTCCCAAAAAGAACTTCACTTTCCCTTTTTGACAAAGAATTTGTGGTTCACAACATTTCTCTCCTCTGCACAACTCTCCACCACACAATTCCCACTTTCTTAATCAGTGTGCCACTTTATTTTGGAAGAACATTTAGAGACGGAGGTAGTAATATTTACACATTTCCCCCACAGTTCGTGTCCTATATTTTTTAGAAATTACGTTTCTCGCGTTTCTCGTTTCCCATTTCACGTTTCCCATTTCACGTTTCCCGTTTCCCATTTCCGTGCTACTTAGCTGTACAAGTAATAATTACATAAGAATACAGCATAGGCTTATGGTTCTAAGGAGGTGTTTGGAAGTGATTATGTTTCTGCTTCTTTTTTAAAGCAGAAGAAAATCAGAATCAGTTTTCAGAAGTTGATACCACCAGCTTCTAAAAAAACTGATCCTGAGAGTAAATTAGAGCACCAAAAGTGCTACTGGAATTTCACCAAACACTCCAGCTTCTGCTTTTGCTCCCTGAAGAGCAGAATCAGTTTTGAGAATCAGATCCAACTTCTGTTTCTGCTTCCTTAATCGTTATCTTAATAACATAACGATTAAGATAACGATCTCGAAAGGCAGGGAAAGAAAAATAAATAGAAGCAGGCCCTATAAATTAATACGCAGTATTAGTTTACGGATGAACTGGATTGACAAATTAAAACAAAAAGTTAAATACAGATTTAGAAGGTCCAAAAGATTAAACTTATTCAATCATATTAAGAAAACTGGTTTCGGACAGAACCCTGAACTATTGGGCAAAACAGAAGTATCATCAACAAAAAGAAGCAAAGTAAAAAAGTCAAGATTCAAAACCTTGGGAGAATCTTGGATAGATAAGAAAATCCGATTTTGACAGATACCGAAACGTAAAAACGGACTACGTCTGCAAACGGCATCTGAAATGACGGGGTTCAGCCCACCGGAAACGGGGCAGATCTAGGCCTTCCGCCGGAGAAGAAAGACAGAGAGAATTCCGCGCCCGCAGTTGTTCCAGCCAAACAGCCGCTCGCTACCTACCAGGGTTGGCTGTGTATGATTCGTATGAAGCTAGAGTTTGGTAAATTTGGAGTCATACATTAGGGTAAATTTGGAAAGACGGAAAAAGATGGTCTTATTTAGATATAAAAATCATTTAAGTCCTATTTAGATACATTAGCTTTATTTGGTACTATTTAGCACCATTTCTCTCGATGATTCAATACACTAGTCTAACTAGACAACTGAGTGAATTCCTACTATTTCAGTCCGGAACTTAACCAAATATGACCAAATTTCATGGTCATCAATGAATGTACTCATTTGCCATGAGTTCATAGTGCCATCTTTTTACATTAAGGTGTTAAGCTATAGAAACGATTGTCATTCAATTTTTTTTGGATGAAATGTATGAAATGTAAATATATATAGAATCATCCAAAGTAGTTTTGTACATCATATGCATAAGGACAAAAATGTAGGCTATCCCAAGCAAGAATGCCCTATCATCCCAAAAATTAGACTAATTCCTTATGAAGCCCATAGCAAAAATAGGTGACGGCCAATTCAAATACTTAAAATAAGGAGTATCATTTGAATATTTTCCCCTAATTCCAACTTTTAAAGGATAAGAACAATTCATCCTTACATTGAAAAGATTTTCTTATTTGCGAAAATTCTCACATAGCTTCCTCAACTCAAAAGTACCACTTAACCAATTTATCTACTTTAGAATAGCCAAAGTTTGGAAACCAAACGCTGTTACAGAGTTACATATGAACTCTAGGTAAATGAATTCATCTGAAAAACAAAACACCAAAGGTTATGGTTGATATTTGATACTATGATTGTTATTAGGTCCCTCTAGATTTTGATGATGCACCTCTATTAGACTAGTCCAAAACTGATTTAATGTATTTTGTGATTTCTGTTACTTTCAAAGTTCATCAAAAAGAAGAAAAGTACTGAAACAAAAAGAAAATAAAAAAGAAAAGTACTAAAAAGAGAAAATGTACTAAAAGAAAAGAAAGCTACGAAAAAGAGTTAACTGGATTTTTTGTTCACTAGCAGCATCCTAGTAAATTCATCAAGCCACTACCGCGCACAAGACTTGTGGGCTGCAAACACTCAAAACTCAACCCTGTTAGTCAACCAAAGTTAACTAACACAATTTTCTCTACAACTTTCTCTCTTGAAGCAAAGTCAAAATCACAAAATTACTTTTTGATCGGACCCACAGTAATTCTGAAGGGAGTAAAAGTAAAAAGGCCTGAAAAAATGTTACTACACATTACGAACAAAATATGGCCTTTACATATTTTTATGGACCTCAGAATTATTGGAGAGGAGAAAATACATTAATCATTTACTGGCGGGCCGTCTTTAGTTGGTTTGGTGCCACAAACAAAAACTAAAATTACATTTTCATATTAGTGAGTAATCTTTTACACAATAAATTATATATAGACAGGAGCGGACACCCTTTGTTCAAGGGTGTTCACGTGAACACCAAAAAATTTGAAAATAAAATGTAAAAATAAATGTGTAAAATAGATGTAATATTGTATTCTACGTACATTGTATTTTTTTTTTATAATATTGTTCATCCTTAACCCTTTTTCTAATTTTGTTGTTGAAAACATTAGATTTCTTCAATTGTGGGATCAAACAATATTATTGTGCAATATTTTAACCATGAAAATTTTTTAAACACCCAACTTTTGGTTGTAAGATCCGCCAGTGTATATAGAGTAGTTGATTAAAAATATTAAAGAGAAATTGGAATCAAATAGTGAAATTGAAAGACAATCACAAAAAGAATCATAAAAACGTTCACTTTTTTCTTCCAAAAAATCTTTCCTTGAGACCTTCACTTTTGTCTTATGTTCGACCTTTTGTAAGTAATATAGGAGTTTGGTAACTTCTGAAATCCTAAAGTACCAATAATCCAATATTTTATAATGAGCTACACTAGTCTAGGCTTCATGAAACAGATATACTTTTTATTAAGTTTTGCAACCGTTTTCTGTATTATTAGTATTCCCAATTACTATATACGAATGTGATAACAACACTAGATTTTTTTTTAAAAAAATTAGTGTCCCCATATGATAGTGATGCCCTAGGCATATGCCTAGGTGCCTCCCACCTAAAGCCAGTACTGTTTACTGGGACCCTCAAACAGTAGAAGTATTTATGAGCAAATAAAATAATTGTCTGGAAATAAAAAAGGAAATACGGCAAAGGATTTTGTATATCCAATCCATACTCCTCGAAATACTTCACTAGAGTAAAATGGCAGTATAAATACAAAAAGGGTTGCAGACACGCCGTATGAAGACAAAAGAAGTCCATACTCCTCAATGGTCAAACCAAGTGGACCAATAAACGGAGAAGATTGAATCTCCCTAGCCAATGAGAGATATTCAACAACAAATTGTCTATAGATACAGAAGAAGCGTGAAGCAGAAAATGTAAGTGAGCTAGAGCAATCAACACAAGCTTATACCTAAGATCTGGAAAGGAGAAAATGCTAATTTATCACCCAGATCTAAGCTCACTCAGACATATTAAGCTCTTAGATTAGTTCATTTTAAAGATATATTTTTAGAGCTTAATCTTAGTTGAGAGGTTAGAATCACCTTGTAATCAACAAACGGTAAATCTTTTGGGAGGGTATCTAAAGTATGGGTAGAATAGGACTGAGTAGATTTTGAATCAGTTGGGTTCATTAGTGAAACACCTAAGGGTAGAGTAGTTTGGAGTGGTGTTTTAACTCCTTGTGAAAACCTGACGATCTAGGCTCACATATGATCAAGAGTAGATTGGGCGCCAAGTGTATTAAGCTAAATAACTTAGTGGAAACCCATTTGAAAGACGGTGTGACTGGATATAGGAGGATTACACCACCTCTGAACCATGATACCTCACCGTGTCATTTACTTTCCAAGTTTACCCAAACACACACTCATCATCTCTCGTCCTACAAATCTTATTTTCCAACAAACAGCTGTCTGAAAACATCTAAACTTCACTAATACAAACACAGTTTGTATACCCAGTTAATGTGAAAAGAATTCTGTCAAAGTTTTTCTCTTCAAAGCAACCAAAGTCATACATCACTCTAAAGTATGTTACAACCTGTTTGAACACCATTTACATTCTCTTGAAGTTTTCTTTTTTCAGTTAACAAAGAGATCAAGTTTTCACTTAACAACTACCGCATCAACTCTATGGCAGCAACTTGCTGCTAAAGTAATCGTCCAGTCAACTCAATATCTTTTTTGAGAATTGTTGTTACCTCCAGCTTTCATATGGAGGAGACGCAAACATCGTGATTGGTTTGCCTAACTAGGAATCCACAAATGTTGTAAGAACTCTTCACATATCCAACTTCACAATAAGATCCTTGAAACAATCCCTCCACTTGTTAAAGAATATAAATAAAAAGTCATTCTTTTTTATAACTAAAGAGTGTGTAATCCAACAGTTCTTAAGAGGTCAAGACTTCCAATGTACATTCTATAACCTCTCAAAAGGTTTAGAATAGACTTTAAAATAGGGGAAGATTTTATAAACCGAAAAAGTTTTAAAAGTCTATTCACCCCCTCTAGACTTTTACCCCACTAGGGATCATCAATGATGTATGCAATATGCAACTGCCTTACTAGTAGTTCACCCTTTAGTATACAGAGTTAATGTATACAATATAAAGTGTTATAAAAGACCACTACTGGAAACCATTATATTATAAACATTATGATATTACAGAACTTTTATTTTATACAGTTCAGTAAATAAAAAAAATTATGCACAAGTGAATGAACAACCCGTAAGTTAGTCATCCAGTTTTGTTGTTTATGTGGTGTACTGTACAATTATCACTACTAGATTTTCTGTTATTTGCTGCCCCTCATTTGCTGCGGTCCAAAACAAAACCACAGCAATTGATGAATTTTTCAAGTATTTGCTGCGTTCATAAAGAAACCGCAGCAAATAAATACTTTTTGTATACTTATTGCTGCGGTTACAATAGAACCGCAGCAAATAACAGTTCGATTTTGTGTTTATTCTCTCCTTTTGCTTCGGTTAAATTGGGACCGCATCAATATATCCTGAGACATTATTTATTTGATGCGGGCATTCCTAAAATCGCAGCAGCTGTGGTGCTTTACTTAGGGTTTTTTCTCTAATCTTCTAAGGAATTTCACGAGCTTGCAGATCGGCTTCTCCTAAGTCAGCCCAATTCATCGCCGCCCCGCTCCAGCGCGCAGCACACTGCCGTCGCACCCCTCCCAGCAGCACAGCGTCATCTCCCACTCCCAGCACACACTGCCTTCGCCCCCTATTAGCACCACACCGACGTCGCCTGCCTGCATACAGCAATCTGCCATCACCGCTTCTATGAATATAGGGAACAAGCTTCCCAACATGGAGTAACCACTGCTCCCTCAGCTTGCCGTTCTTTCCTGATCGCCGCCTTCTACTTATTGACTCCTCTTCACTTATTGCAGGTCTACTCCTCAATCTTTTATAATATCAAGCAATTTTCTTTAATTGTTTATCATTTCACGAAAATTTAATATTTGTTGATATTATGAAATAAGTATTGATGTTTATGTTTGTATAAAGTTGATTTTTATGTATTTTTGAAGTTATTATGTGTGAAGTTATTTTTTTTGTAATTCCTACATGAAGTGCATAAGTATTCAGGATAAATAAATTCCTAGAATTGCAAAGTGCAATTCAGATTCGAGGAGGACCGGGGAACATATGAATCAAATTCATTTCATTGCTTTCTCACTGTCTCTTACATATGCATATTTTTACATTTTGCCAAGAACTGGTTCTGTTATGTACCAACTCTTACATTAGCTGAATAAGAACATTTGATATTCTGTTTTACAAGATGGTTTGCTAATTCATAACGGGACAATGGGGTGTTTTTTTCCTTTTATTCAAGAAACTTCAGTGACGTCCTTGTGTGTGGGAGTATGTGGGAAAAAAGGGTGAAAATTTTACCTCCCTTTTTCCAAGTTGCTTACAACTTCTTTTCTGAAGGGGATTTTATCTTGTATATATAAAGCGGTCATCCCATCTAATATTGCATCTAATTCATATCTACAACACTTGACATGCTAGGACAGCCTGGGCTGGGTAGAGCTTTGTTAGATATATGGATTGTTGTTCGCCAGTCGAAAAGGCTTCCCGGCATGTTCAGGTAATCTTAAACCAAGAGTCAGTCCTATTTGACACCCCTTCTTTGTGCTGACTATTTTTCCAGCTGATTTTGATGGAATCATATACTCCGTATTGCTTTTCTTGATAGTGGACTTTATTATTTCTTAGCCGTTAATATACACAGATCCAAAATCACATAATTCTTGGTTAAGTGTGGCTATGTGTGATGATATTCTAATTGAAATTAGATTTCCTTTTTAAAGAAATTAAAAGCATGAGATTAGATTCAACATTTTGTGAATCCTATTATATAATTCCTTTCATAACGTAATAACGTACAGTAGTAAAACGTCTTCGTTCTACTATGACTATTAAAGAGTTGTACAATATGCATAACTATGAATAAGTCATTAATTTACCGGTAATGAATGCCAATGCTTCTCTGTTATCCACATTGTGATTAATTGTAGCATTGTTAAGGACATTGTGATGCGTGCCAATGAACTCATTTTGCTTCTTTTGTATTGTATCACACTTCAACTGCTCCTAATTTATCAATTTCTTTATTTGTGTATAATTCAGGATCTCACAACATGTGCAGTCATTACCAATCTTGGTGGTCAGATTATCTTACTTGACTAAATTTAATGTTTGTTAGTAGTGCATAACTTCTCCAGGATCAGCACCAAGAAATTTATTCCAAGAAAGGTTCCATTTTACTAAATAAAGACATAAAAGAGTATGAGTATATAAAACTTATACTCTATCACAATTATATCGATTTCCTGTGACGCTATCAGTATGAGTATATTTTATTTTAATATATGTTGTAGGAATTTGTCACGGTCATGCATATCAGTCAGTGAAAGCTTGATTTTTTATTTATGCTTGGTAAGATTATTAAGTGAATGGTAGTTGAAATTTGAGCCATATTCTGTTTTTTTTATTTTGGCAGATAATCCGGTACTTGTAATTTAAAGTGTTACGCAGAGACTTCAATGGAATGATAAAGGTATTATTATTTACCCTGGATTTTTTAATCCTCAATATCAGTAAAACTTTTAACTACAAGGATCAAGATGGAGTATAATATTAGTGGAAAGAATTATCCCACATTGAGAATTATCCCACATTGAGAAAAAGAAATGAAAATTCCTTAATTTGCAAGTCTACGGATTCTAAACTTTGAAATCATTCAGGAGGTGCTAAGCTGCAGTTTAAATGCACCCTTCACTTTTATGCTATATTGGCAATGGTTTGGTCCACGCCTGAAAGTAGTGGAGGCTGCCCGGAAAGTTAGTGAAAATTTCCGTCCACCGTCCACGCCAATCTGGTTTATCCATTAACCAAACTCCTTGTATGGATCTTTTCTGAAGTTGAAGTGCAAGTATGGTTGCTCATTTCCAGTATGTGTATGGATGAACCTGCAGGTTGAGGGCATGTGCTTGTGCAACAAGATCAATTATACTCAATTTACAAGAAAAACAAATCATCAAGTGATTGCGATGGAAAAGGAAGAGAAGATAAGAGACATCCTGAGGAAGAAATAGCAACAGAAAACCTAAAATATGTGTGATAACTTATTGTAATTTGTTAGTGACGAACTATATAGCGATGGTAATTTGTATTGTACGGAGTATTATTTATGAATTTTGGATATATACGATTTTTTGCGAATTATGATTTGTGTTGGTATGATACTTAGATGTAGAAATGATTTTTTTCTTATTTTATGAACATTTTATTTTATGATAAAAACTAGTTTTAAAATCATTTTAAAACAAAATTAATATACCAATACATAAAACCCTATTTGCTGCGGTTCAACAGCTATTTGCTGCAGTCCATAACCGCAGCAATAAGTTACATTTAATTTTTTAGAATAGCTATTTGCTGCGGTTCACAACCGCAGCAAATAAGTTTTCCCATTATTTGCTGCGCTGCCAATTGCTGCGGTTCAAAACCGCAGCAAATGGGTAAAAATGACCGCAGCAAATAGCTATTATTCTAGTAGTGTATATACAGAAAGAAATCTTTTCCCGCATGCATGTTTATGTGGTGTACTGTACAATTGTATATAGAAAGAAATCTTTTCCCGCAGGCAGTGTCATTTGGTGGTACACAAATGATCACCTCTCAGTTCATCATGAAGAAAGAAGAGGCGCTTCAATGCTCTCTATCTCGTCTTCGGATGCCTTCTTCAATGGTACTTGCATTGGCAGCGTGCACGCATAGCATAATGCCACAACCTAAGACATTTATTAATATTTATTAGATACACTAGTTCTTCTGCGCGCGATGCGCGATTGAGTTCATGCCCAATATGATATATGTAATGTAAATATTAATATATTTTCTAGATTGGCCTTTTTTACACTTTAATCCGTTGAATTATGTATACATGCGCTTCGGAAAATTTAAAAGTAAATTTAGGTATCATATTTTTGAAATAAAAATGAGTAGGCATATAAATACATTGATCAAAAAGAGCATAATCGTGGCAAAATACAACAACCAGTTTTGGTAGACGAAAACAAAATTAAAGCATACTTTGTGATAAAATATACTCCGTATTATTATATATATTAACCAAGCTAAGTGATGAAGACTAAAAAAACAAAGTTCCCAGCCACTGTGTGACTATATCTCATATGATGAAGGGTAGCTGTCACCAGGTTGTATAACTTAAGCTTACTTAGCACCTAAACATAAATATCGTTACAAAATTGATGTCACTATGAGAGCTCAAGGAGTTAAATAATCGCGTACAAAAATAAAAAATATTACTATAAATGTTTAGTGATGCATAACTGATACTACAAGAAAAGTGCACATAGACCGCACATAGACCAAATTTTTTTTGCGATTGCAGCATAATTGTCGTTAAAAACACCATTAACCACGCACAAACACCGCGTATGTCACATACTCACTTATACTCCGTACTATTTAATGAAACAATAATGTGTGGAAATTGACAAGTGTGTCATTATATTTAAAAGTAGATTTGATCTCTATTTGATGGCTAACTAACATTAATGTTAAACAATTATATCACATAATTTAAATTAATACATTACACATTTAGAGCCCGTTTGGTAACACTGAAATTGACTGGAACTGCGGAAACTTGTGAAGTTTTGGGTGAAATGGATGGATTGACTGACTATTTTGATTTATGAGAAAATTATATTGAAAATATTTTTTAATAATAGAATTAAGAAAAAATTATTTGAAAAAATAGCGACAATGATAATTTACAGTAACTTTAGCCAATACAGCCATAAAAGTAACTACAACCTAATTTTTTCTTATTATTAAACAATTCAACGCGCGAAATAAAATGTTACGAGCCCGTTTACCATGCTGGTCGGGCTTATCAGTCAATTTTTTCACCAAACACGTAACTTTTGATTTCGCGCGATGAAGTGTGTAATAACAAGAAAAAGTAAGGTTGAAGTTAGTTTTTGGTTGTATTGGCTTAAGTTATGTGGATGATCATTTTAGATGTTTTTCATATAATTTTTTATTTATTTTTAATAAAAAAATATTATAAATATAATCTTTTCATAAATCAGCATTATCAGTCATAGAGTCACTTCAGGTAGAACTTCTTAAATTTTAGCAGAATAAGTCACTTCAGCCAATTTCAAAGTTACCAAACGGACTCTTGATGAAAAAGGTGATTGAAAAGCTTGACAAGTCAGAAAACAGGATCACCAAACGGACCTTTATACTCCGTATGAAAGTATCCAACATCATCTTTCCGATCTGTACCTAAGTTTAGAAAATGCTCGTTGGATCGATAATGAGAAGATTTTATATTTAAACTATATTGGACCAATACCATGCATTAATTAAGAACTTGGTTCTAAAAAACGAATTACAAATTAATAAAAGGTATGGGTCAACATTAGACTATGGATGGCTATCCACTCTTCTAAATCTAAACTTTAATACGGAGTATAAAGCCTTCGAACGGAGATAAATAAAGAAGCCGATAGAGAGTTTTACGGAGTGTAGCCGGAGTTATAGTTAAGTAACGGAAAGTTGGGGATATTTGTGGTATAAAAAGAGTTGAAGTGATTAGAGTACAATAGTTTATGCATACGTTTCAAGTTCATTTTAGCATGTGGTTACACCAACACATTTTTCAAGTCCAAAATAACCTAACCTTCATTCACCCTTATAATTTTTTAGATAGCCGGAGTTATAGTTAAGTAACGGAAAGTTGGGGATATTTGTGGTATAAAAAGAGTTGAAGTGATTAGAGTACAATAGTTTATGCATACGTTTCAAGTTCATTTTAGCATGTGGTTACACCAACACATTTTTCAAGTCCAAAATAACCTAACCTTCATTCACCCTTATAATTTTTTAGATTGAGGTGCACCCATACAAACTAAAATCCAACTTACATACAATGTTGTCAAAGTAATGGATTGTATGTCATTTTACACTATGAAATACTATATAAAGATACAAACTTACATATAAGGTCTTTTAAGATAAATCCCAAGTCGTAATTTCATATACCGGACCATTAGACAAATTAAGTCTAAATGAGCAATCGGTCTGATCAAGACATAAAAAAAAGCACACATATTTAAGATGGTGATGGGAATTTTGCAATTTTCGTCTCGTAACTTTTGATCGTTTTCATTATTAGTCCCGCAACTTTAGTGACTTGCAAATGTGGGCCTATAAGTAATTAATATTTGCGATTTAAGGAATTTCCCATTAAAAAGTACACTTTCCGGCGATAGTATACCGGAAAAGATGTCGCCAACGTCGAATATTTCTGCCGTAAAGTGTACTTTCTGGTGAAAAAGTCCTTAGATTCCAAATATTTATTAGTTACTTGATCAAATTTGCAAGTGATTAAAGTTACAGAACCAATAACAGCCGAGAGTTAAAAGACTAAAATTGCAAATCTCTCTTTCAAGATATTTCTGATTCACCGCTGTCTTCTGAGGTGTGTTTGGTCATCTCACAATCTCACATTGAGCACATATAAGTATATAATTCACATTTAAAGTTTTGAACTACTTATCCTATAAAATTGACATTTTAGGATGAAATCATAAGTGATAACCTTGAGAATTTTATACAAAAACTATGGAGTCTAGGGAAATGTTTGGATCCGAAAATAGATTGGGAAAAGGAAAACCAGAGCTAAGTAAAGTGTATTTTTATGCTTGGCTCCACCTTGGAATATTGTGTTTAGTTTCTTTTATCTTAGTCTTTTTATTATAATAAAATAAATACACAAAATGAGTTTGAGCAAGCATACAAAACAAGTGTTTACTGACATTCTTGTCTGGTACTGTCTACTCGGTGACTACAGACTATTAAAGAACTGCCATTTAGGTCATATCCACTCGGTGGGTACGGACCTGTAAGCGGTCAAATACTCCCTTCTTCCCATAAATTTCTTCCCACTTACTTTTTTGGGATGTCCAAAAAAAATCTCATTTCCTTTTTTTGAAAGTTTTGTATGACTACATTCATTTACATTTTTCTTACTCAACCACAATCATACTTTTCTACTTTATTCTCACTTTCTTAAATTTCAATGAAAGTCAAATCGAGAATAATTTTATGGGACGAAGGGAATATCAAATATCATAGGGAATTGTCCACTCGGTGGCTATGAGCATATATCAACTATCAAGATTTGAGTACTGTCCAATTAGTGACCGCGAACCCAAAATCAATGATCAAATTCTATGGGCTTATTAATTCCCTATTGACAAGCCAACTTATCCAAAATCCAGAAACCAGGTTTTCAAATTCCATTATTTTGTTCAATTAAATTAAATATAAAGAATAAATGTCAATGTTATGAGAGGCAATAAGCCGATTACCAAGCACAAAGAAGCACAAATAAAGCTGAACCCCTTGCAGTTGAATGGTGCATTTTCAGACAAGAACCAAGCTGGAAGAACATAATAAGACATTAGTCAATTTACAATATGTGCAACAATTAACAATTAGTATTCCTTTCCATATCAATGGAGTCAATCAAGGGTAAAACTGGTGCAAGTTCTTCAAACTTACTAGTCAATGGACTCATTCCGATTGGAGATAAAAAAATGGCAATTGCTGTCACACCATCAATAAGTGTTAGTGTTTTACCCTACACAACGACATTATAAGGTTATGGAAATATATAATAAAAGCAAAAACTAAGCGTAGTTGACTCTTTTAGACAGTGTCCATGTTTGTTTTCTTCTATAAAATTTACATAAACTTGTAAGAAAATTGTTTAGAGGATTGAAGGTCATTTATCTCAAACCTGATCAGCTGAGCTCATTGTGCGGGATATCATAGCATAAGACTGTAATCAATTCAATTAAAAAAATAAGTTACGATATATCAATTGAGGGAAAGAATAATAGTAATACCATCAAGTTTTTAATGGAGGACTTACGGCCGGTGTAAATAAGATGAAGATGACTCCAAGAGATGCACTCAAATAAGCCACCTATGTAGAGAAATATTTGTAGTCAAAATAATTGATAAAACAGGGATAATCATCTGTAGTCATATCAACATATTAAATTTATCTACTTGGAAAAGAGAATACCCATGGTGCCCAAGCCAATCCATAAAGCAGCGCCTGTTGGATAAATAAAATTGATTAAAGCTCCATTTTATGACTATTAGTCTCATTCTTGGATTGAATAGATTCCTTATACATAAACAATTGGTTGAACACTTAAACAGAGTTGTTAACGACATCTTACATATGCTATGGATGCCAACAAGGAAATGCAAAACATCAATTTCTCCCCAACAAATGGATAGATAAGCGGAAGCACGACCATCTTGAAACAAGACAAAAAATGAAGTGTAACTAACATGTTTAGTTTCCTTCTTTACTTGAAGGTATAAGAGAATTACACTGTATGCACTTTTTCAAAAAAATCAAAACATAAAAATTGTATGGGAAGATGTTCATTTCAAGTAGTACCTGAGACACAACTGAACCTACTCCCACGACCATCAAAACTTCTGACAATTGATTTTTGTTAAAACCAAAAACAGCTTTCAAATAGTACTGCGTGTTTATAAAGACACTAATTGTTAGAGTAAGAGATATATGAAAATAAAAGGGCTCTTTCTTCAATCTCTATTAGAAGAGGCCAGTCTTTATGATAAGATGATAAAATATACAAACCAGTAAGACTGCATCGATGCCAGTCATTCCGAGTTTGAAGAAGAAACTTATCAGGGTGATGCACTTCAACGTTGGACTAAGAGGTAGGAGGAAAAGATTGAACGTATTTCAATAATGTTTGGGAAATGAAAGAAAAGAAGATTAAAGGACCAATATATATACTTGGCGAAAATGAACCTATTATGTGTATCACCTGCTGATGACAATCAATACAGCACGTCTCATAGAGTCATACCGATCCCACATAAACTTCTTCGCCTTGTTCACATTAGGAAGACACTCATTCACTCCACTGATTGGTTTAACTGTCTCCACTAGATACAACGCCATGTAAACAGGAGCAAATGCCGAAAGACCTATTGAAACCTGAAACATCATCATCATGATAATGATTTGAGAGTAGCACAATACGAAAGATTCAATAAATTAGGGTCGGACATCCAATACCTCAAAGATGTAGTTCTCTGGAAGAAAACGTGCCAGGGCATTTCCTAGGAAATCGGAAGCAGAAAATAAACCATGCATCCAACTAAAAACTGCAGCTGTACTGCTCTGATCAGTAACATCTGCCTATAATACATTAGATGTTTGTTACTAAATTATTATTATTATTCAATAATGGTTATTTTTCTAAGACATAAACAGTGGGTCATACCGCATAAGCATACGAGATGCAGAAAATGTTTCCATGTCTACTTATTATATCAGAAAGTGTGTGAACCACATAGTAAGCATATACAAAACCCCTCGATTGACTAATGGCAAGTAAAACTGCAAAAGAGGGAAAATGAGTTACAGTTCTTAATGGTATGAATAAAAAGCATGAAAAATTAGAGATTGATTAGACACATACTATAAGGGAAGATTGTAGTTGATACAGTGAGAAGTAGAATTGGTTTTCTCCCATAATCATCTGCAAGTTGACCAAGTATAGGAACCGCCACCATCTTGAATATCCCATCAACCTGCATGAGAAATCATTTTACAAAAAGTTTTGGATGTTTTGAATGTTCATAGAAGATTCCTGGATGACTACTCGGTACGACTCAACCCAAAAATTCCAAAGAAGAGTGTTTCGTGTACACCTTTTTGTGTACACTACTCACACGCTTTGTCTGTCGACCTAGACAGAGTTTGTCTGTATACACAGACAAATTCCACACGGGTTGTCTTTATAGCGACAACTCTGTCTGTGTAAATAGACAAGGCGTGTGAATGGCGTGCATAAAAAGGTGTACACCAAGAATTTTTGTTTGTTTTTAAACTATTAATTTCTTATGTAAATTTATTTAAAAGATTCTTGTATCTAGTGGCGGAGCCAGAAAAATGACTCAGGGGTCGAAACCTAGCTATATACAAAATAAAAATGTGGATCACATTTAAATAATACCTGAGTTAATTGAATGTATGTAGCCTAGATAAATGGTACTACCTCTACCCCGCTTAAAAGTTCCACTACACATGACACAATTATTTAGATAACAATTAAATAAGGTAATTCGAGTATATCTTGATAAATAATTTTGATGAGTATATAATAGAATGAGGTGACTGTAGCGTTATAGATGTATTATTTTTAACATTTGATGATTAAACTGTCATACAAGAATGTTAATCGTTTCCTACAATAGAAATGAGAACCCTAATATGAGACGTCTAAAAAATAAAGTAAGAACCTTAGAATGCGACGGTGGGAGTAGTTTATAAGAGACTAATAGAGTTATAAATTTGATATATATATGTCATATATATATATATAGATATTTAAAACTTCATGTAAGTAATTACGGAATTAGATGCTATTTTGTTTTAAATAAATAGGAGTATGATCAATATTTTACATCAAATTTGACTCGTTTTAAGTTTAGATAGTGCTAAATTTCCAGAAATCATTTTTTTTTTTACTTGTAGTGAGTTTTAGAAGCCATAATATATCACGTTGAAAGTATTTCAAAGCTCTATATTTTCAAATTCTCAAGAGTAAGCAAACCTTCCCGACCTCCCTTGAATCCGCTAGTGTTTCTACCGATCTAACCCAATACATATCACTCACTAAACCTTACTACAACGCCAGGTACCACAACATGAACTTTACACTACCTCCCTACCGCCGTCCTCAAAAATGTTTTTTGTATCCACAACCCATAAGATTTGAACGTAGCTCCAGGAATGTTAAAGCAAATGCGTCTGGAACAAGGTTTCGTCCCAAAAACTTTACCCATTTCCAATCAAGACAAAATTGAGGACTCCAATTTGCTATAAATCTCAATTCGTCACATTAGGCACTTATCTGCCAACAGAGAATTTGAATACGCAATTAAAAAATTTTCAAAAATCTTAAAAGAACAAATCACGTCATGGTATGAAGACTAGATCACACTAAACAAATCTTTGGGCCTTTGATTTTCATTGGACTCACCATTTGTTTTGTTTTTCCTGTGTTTTCATCTTTCTCACATCACTCAAATTTTTCTTTTTCAATAAAAGTTTCTGTTTCCGGAAAAAGGATTACCGAGCCTGAGCTAGAAAAATTAGCTTAACTTAAACGAATCAAGAAGCAACGTTTCCACTAGTCACGGTCTTCTTTCCCTTATGCCTTTTCAATCCTAATTCCTATCTATGCTGCTCTCTATAAAAAACAACGGCAACTTCAAGACTTCAACCAATATGCAAGAATCGAAGAAGCAAAACGATTCAAGAATCGGGAGCAAAAGGGACCTCTATTTCACCAGTTTTTATGTGAAATATATGTAGGGACTTTTAAAGCATTTGTCCCACACCGGAAAACTATAAAACAATTAAACACTGTATAATGCTTTGGACTACTCCTTCTATCAGGTTGACCTTTTAGGATGGAACCCCGAGATTAAGGGTAGCTTGTTAAGGACTTGTTTGGCCCATTTATACACCCTAATATTGTCCAGCCCGGTTCGGGCTGAGGGGCGTGTTAAAACATTTGTCCCACACCGGAAAGCTATAAAACAATTAAACACTATATAAGGCTTTGGGCTACTCCTCCTATCAGGTTGACCTTTTAGGATGGAATCCCGAGTCTTAACAGGGACAGAAATCATGAACTTGATTTATTGAGTGAAGAAAAAATTATTTTATAAAAATATATAAAGAGAGATTTAAGATCAAATAGAAATAGTTTTTCCCGTGAAAAACATGAATAAATCTAGAACATTGGATTTAGGATTTAATGACTCTAAATATATATATAAAATGCATTAAAGTGGGTAAAAAATGCGGTGACATTTTCATAAATAAATCAATTTTTTCTTCTTTGCAAAAAGTGTACTTCCGGCTTCCAATATTGTATGGTATTAAAGTAGAAAAAGTGAATGGCAAAAATATATTCACTACAATAGTGCAACTCAAATGCTCAAAAGTGGAGAGACTACCATTTTTTTAATACTACTTTTTATTGGAACCCAACTCTACACACATCTATATATATGTATAGATACAGACACACATACTCCGTATATAACATCTTAATATAATATACAATGGAATATTACAAATTATAAAAAATATCTTCTTTTGATAAAATTGTATGTCCTATAATATAATGTAATTAAAAAAATTATAATAGATAATTTGTTTTATTAATAAATCATATGTCTTTTAATGTAATTTCATATTATCCAGGAACTTATCAGTTCTTTTTGTCAAATGGGTCTACTCCGTTCAACTAGCAATTCTTGACTTCAAAGTTCAGCTCAAGACAACAACCTCTGATTCAGACAATAGCCCATAATTCAGACATTAGCCTCCAATTTCAGCTCATTATGTCAAACATAGCCTTAATGGAACTGAAACCGAGTTAATTGGGTATGCTTTGATGAATCATGCCTTAATTACTTTTATTGAAAAATAAATACTCCGTTCCAAAAAGATTGGCCAAATTGACTTTCTTGGTCAATGTTGTTAAAGTTTAGACAATGATTTTGTGTATTATATTTGTGTGTAATTACTTTTATGTTCTTATGATTTTGTGTATAAATTGACTATCTTATGTACTTATGTTATTTGTATCTTATCTATTTTATCTTACCTTGTCTTTTTTTTCTTTTTTTTCTTTTCTTTTTTTGATCTGATATCATGAGTCAATTCATGTTAGTGAATCCTAAAAAATCTTTTGGGAATAAGGTTTGAATGTTGTTGTTATGAAAGATTTAAAGACTATACATATATAATTTTCATATTTGAAATAAATTTGTGTTACAAAATATCATTGCTCAAACTATCCACCATTGACCTATAAAAGTCAATTTGGTCAATCTCTTTGGGATGAAAGGAGTATTCAAAAGTGTTGACAAATAAAAGATTGTACACCGTCGTTTTCAAAATATGAAAACGCACCGTGAGCAATTGTGCATCAGCACTTTAATTTTATTAATGATAATATTTGCTATTTTTGCTTTATTAATGTACACATTATTATATAATATTGTTTTGATAAATTGACACCACTGACATTCGTTCCTAGGTCCGTCCCTGATTGCGATTGAAGATCAGACATCGTCATCGATGGCCGCGCCTCCCAGTTCCGCGAACGACGGCTAGGTGACGACGGCCAGATGAGGGGTATGATTACAGGCGGGTGGCGCGGTTGAACAGATCTCTGATTTTGGCGGTCATTAGAACTAAGATGAGGGGGCGGCGACGAGCCGGCGGTGGTGCGGTTGGGGGTTTGGGTCGGGAGGTGGGGCTTAGGTGTACGACTAAGGTCTGGGGCTGTGGATCTGTATGAGCTGGCGTGTCAGATCTGTGGGTTGGGGTGGCCTAGGTTTCACTTGTGGGGGTAGGGGCTGGGGGCAGAGCTGGGGTGCTGGGTGGCGGAAGTAACCGGCGTTGTCTCCGGCAACGGTGCCCAGATTTGGGTGGAAGTCACTGAGTAGTGATCGGAGTGGGGTGGCAGTCACTGGCCAGTGAGGTAGTGACCGGAGTTAGATAGAAGTCAATGGTCAGTGACAGGAAGTCAATGAGTGACCGGAGTGGGGTGGCAGTCACTGGCCAGTGACCGGAGTTAGGTAGAAGTCACTGGTCAGTGACATGAAGTCAATGAGTGACCGGTGGTGGCGGTGGTGCCGGTGGTGGTGACGGCGGTGCAGTGGTGCTGGGGTCAACGGCTCAGAGGTGTTGGTGGCTATAGGACATGGACGACTAATCTAAATCAAAAACATATAAACACCAATGATGGTTATGACTTTTTAGGAATGATAAAAATGTTAGTCTAACACTAAAGCAAGTTTCACTTGTACAATTTGTTTTAATCAGTGTACCATTCATCATTAAGTCTATGACTTATGCTTACCTCCGTTAAATTCAAAACGGCAGAAGGTAGTTCTTCTATTCATTTGATTGGTTTAGTTTACATTCAATGTTTTATATTCAATTTTGCATTTTCAGCTTTTTCCCTACTTGTAGAAGATAAATATTTAATCTTACTCTATATAATATAGGATTCAAAATGTTTCTATATTCCAAAATAGGATTACCATGTTTTTATATGACTAATTATTGTCATGTTTTGACAGTATCAGACTTTAAAAATATAAGTTTTTTCTCAAACTAACCGGTAATTACTCTTATTTTGAGGATAAAAATATGACAATCCTATTTTGTACTGTTCAAACTTTTTTAATCCTATGAGAATTTTCCCAAAACCACGCGTTTATTCTCTTTAGAATGAAGCGATATGACATTGTGACACCCGATACAATTTTCGTAGAGTTTAGCAATCACCCCTTAATTAGTTATTAACTTCTCGTGGGCGCAAAAATTTGGATGCATATCTTGGTTGAAAGAGTTGTTCTTTTCATATCGTTGCTTATTGCTTAGAATTATTTAGTTTAGATCACGTCACGTCAAAAAAATTCTTCTCGCATCACGTTGATCCAGGATTGTTCTTTGGATGCAATATGCTTATTGGATGCATATTGCTTTTGGATGCAATATTGTTCTTTTCATATCGTTGCTTATTGCTAAGAAAAATTCTTCTCGCATATCGTTGCTTATTGCTTAGAATTATTTAGTTATTATTTTGCTCATTGCTTATATTTGTACTACTATAATTTATCTGAAATTTATTAATTATGTAAAATACTACATTCATCCCAAATTGATTTGCAAAATTAACTTTTCTTGGTCAAACAGTTTCATTTTATTCACTTAACTAGAATGTCACTTTTTAATTATATTTAATTTGGAGCTTGCAACCTTGAAGAGATTTCAATGTAGTTTCTGAATATGTTTATTTTAATTATTAAAAAATAAATAAATTATCAATAAAGAGAATTTAACTTTAACATGGTTGACAAAAAAATTATTCACTTTGCATGTCAATTTGGGATAAAATGAGTATGAAAATTTATAAATTGTGTCGATTTTTGGAGGATGAATAAACTTTAATCTCCTCTTAAGCACTTGAAAAAAGTGGCATTGTTTGATATTGATATGGCATGGTACCGTCCCGTTTTAAAATGAAACCGTACCGAACGAGTTTAGGTCTAAGACCGAACCGAACCGTTTGGATAGTAACAATACGGGTACGGGTTCGGCCAAATATTGGACCGGACCGAACCGCGCCCACCCCTAGAAAATTGTCCTTGACAAGCAGAAAGCCCCCAAAAAGACAAGAAGGCGCCCCACCAAACAAAGATGGGAAACCCCACCAATTCAATTCACGCAGCTGATTGGCCAACCTAAAGTACGAAGGGACAAAAAACTCATGAACCAAAATGGACTAGTTGGAAAAGACTAGATAACTCAACAACATAAATTAATGTCTGATGTTGGCACCTATTAACACCAAGAATTGTACGTAGTATTAATTAAACTGATGTTGGCACAAAAAAGACTAAGGATGTTTTTATAAATTACTGATCTGATTTGGTCTGGTTTATTTAAATCTTGTCTGGTCTGGTAAACGTCTGGTCTCTATGTATTTTATAACTACGGAAGTGGTCTGAGACTGAAAACAGTCCAAGTAAAAATATCCTAATTGATTTGCAACTCAGATGAAGATACTCAAGTTGGAAGGGTCATCATCATCATTACCCACCACCGCTAGGGTCGGATGTAAGCGATTTTACCTCTGCACTAAAGCAAGAGAAACTGTTTCCGGATACTCAGAGAAAATCATGTCAAAAATTCATTCTTTTTGACAAGAAAGGATTCTTGATTTCGAGGAAACCAAGAAGGTTGGTAAATTAATCCACGAGATAAGATTCTTAGAACGTAACAAAACCCCTTTTCAAAAGACATAATCTTTGCACACAAAAAAGGATTCTTGATTTCATTTCTGAAACCAAGAAGGGTGGTAAATTAATCCAGGAGAAAATGATTTCTTGATAACAAAACCATATTATAAAATGGCACAATCTTTACACACAAAAGAAGGGGAGGATGAAGGAAGAGAGAAATATGTACAGTTTGCTGGAGTCCATTGATGTAAATAGCTTGAGAGCAGGAGGATTTGCCATGGCAGAGAGCAGAGGTGGTGACATCAACCAGCACAGACTTAGTCATCGCATCAGCGATCAAGTGAACGCATAGCGGCACCAGAAGGTGCACTAATGGCTTCAACACTTTCATCTCGATTCTCATGAATTTCAGGCCCTTCAGAAACTACCATTCAGCAAGCAACATAAGTCAATCTTAAATACTGCCTTCCCTGACTTTGATTTTAGAACCAAAAGTTCTCAGACAGCTGGTTAAAAAGTTTTCGTATATGTCGATGATGCTTTTTGGGATAGAAAATTCTGAGGTTTGTTTTATGTGAATGGCTATGGTGGCTCTGTAATCATTTAAAGGAAATAAAAGCGAAAAAGGAAAATGAAATTAATATAAATAATCCGTACTTTTAAGCATTAAGAAAAAATATTACAAATCATCCCAAATCATCAGATGCTTCACAAGAATAATTAGAGATCTAAGGATGTTAACTTTTCCGATAATTTATTTTTGCATGTTGAATGAAGAGGGAAAAATATAAAAGTATAAATAACTTCATAAGCCATACCCACTCTATCTTTTAAGATTCGTGATTTCATCCTTAAAGGTCAACCTGATAGAAGCAGTAGTCCATATCTTAATATAGCACTTTGATCATCCAAACTTTTCTGGTATGAGACATTTAACACCCCACCTCACGACTAAACACTTCGTCTGGATCGTGCCATCATTTTTTTCATCGATCCGTTTTTTTCATCCGGCCGTAATTGTCATTTTTTTATAATTGTGCCATCACGATTCATAAGGGGCCCCACATCATGGATCAATTTGGCTCTGATACCATGTTAAGACACAGAGTTCCATCCTAAAAGGTCAACCTGATAGGAAGAGTAGCTCGTGTGTTAATATAGCACTTTGTTCATCCAAATGTTTCCGGTGTGGGACATTTAACACCCCTCCTCACTACCAAACACTTCGTCTGGATCGTGCAATCATTCATTTTTTTTCATCGGTCCTTTTTTTCATCTGACCGTTTTTATAATCGTGTCATCATTTTTCATAAGGTGCCCCACACCATGGATCGATTTGGCTCTGATACCAATGTTAAGACCCGGGGTTCCATCCTAAAAGGTCAACCTGATAGGAGGAGTAGCCCGTGTGTTAATATATCACTTTCTTCATCCAAACGTTTCCCGTGTGGGACATTTTAACACCCCTCCTCACGAACAGACACTTCGTCTGGATCGTGTTGCCATTCATTTTTTTGTGGTTTCGTCATTTTTTTAATCATGTCGTCATTTTTCATAAGGGGGTCCACACCATAGATTGATTTGGCTTTGATATCATGTTAAGATCCGGGGTTCCATCCTAAAAGATCAATCTGATAGGAGTAGTAGCACATGTATTAATATAGCACTTTGATCACTATCCAAAATGACATGTAAAGTCTAAATTTGTATCAACACGTTTTTAGTTTTACTACTTGGTAGTATTTACTAATTTAGGATATACTCCGTAATTTTTTACGGAGTATTATATTTTAATTTGTATTTTGCATTTTGAAGATGTTTCAATGTAATTTCTGAATAGTAATTGAGAAAATTGAGTAAATTATTTAAGTGAAAGATTTAAATATATCTTTCGTTAAATTTGAAACCTACGAGTAGTCCTCCAAATCTATATATATACTAGTTCTGTAACGCGCGTTGCGCGATTGGGATAATGCCCAATGTATTATATAACCCAAATCTTTAAATATATTTTTGCAATTTGTACTGTATTGGCAAAGAAAAGAAAAACGTGAAACTTTTAAAAAAATACACATCTCAATTAAATATGAACTTAAGGCCTCAATTTGCCTTAAGTTTGAAGCCACGACGTTTATTGTGCATCCCTTAAATTGAAATAATTTGTCATACAAAACAATGGACATGGGTGATATAGGTCATACAAAACAATTGATCTGCGTGCAAGTTGAAAGGATGGTCTTCATTTGTAGAGACTTCATCAAGGATCATCACATTTTCTACACTCTACTTCTACATTTCATCTCAAGAGCACCCCCTTGGTCTTGAGAAATCCTTCTATGATTCCTTTAATTATCCAGTAAGATGTTTTCCTTACACTTAGAAAGATTCCTTTAATTATCCAGTAAGATGTTTTCCTTACACTTAGAAAGAGTAGTTGAATCTAAGGCAAAACCGCAAATAGGATGTGAAGATCAAAAGAGATCACAATACAAATGCTCAAATGAAATTCTAACCCAATCTTGACACTTTCAGTTTACTTGCAACTATCTTCTATTACATCCCAATGTGAGAATGATAATGTCAAATACTCTTTTACTCACACTCTCAATAGATATTTAATTTTGATGAGATGATACTGGCATTTCCAGCAGCATGGTGCAAAAGATGCTGGTCATATCCAAGTTGCATATGAGCACCACACTCTACAAGGTGTGGTAATATCTATATGCTCTTCGATCGATGACATACAAAACACGAGGTACACCGGTACACTATAGTACGATCACCCATTTTACTAATCAATCGGACTAATAATTTTAGGGGCCAACTTAACAACAAAATAAATGAAGCAAACACCAAGTTCATCTTTGACATTGACATTTAACTTCAAATACATCTGATACACCTTTTTTTAGTTATAAGTTTTGAATTTCCAAAGTAGAGCTGATTTATCATACTACGTATATGTTAGATGGTTGGTAGTATCTAAAAGCATTTCTCGACCAATGAAGAAGTACTCAGAAGCAGTTTTTTGTGTAATAATAAAACATAATTTAATTGAAGTTAATTTTTTGGGGGGGGAATCGTAAACTTTATGTGGGTGTGATTTAGGATGTTTTTACTTGGACTGTAATTTGCTGGTCTGGTCTGCTCTGGTCTGATCTGGTCTGGTCTGGTCTGAACTGGTCTGGTCTGGTCTGGTAAGGTCTGGTTTCTTTGTATTTTTATAACTATCCAAGTCTGATCTGGTCTGGTCTGGTCTGAACTGGTCTGGTCTGGTCTGGACTGGTCTGGTCTGGTCTGGGGCAAATTACAGTCCAAGTAAAAACATCCTTAATACTACTTTTGGGAGGGTTCTTTTTCCATCTAGTTCAAATTTATAGGGAGAAAGAACATGTATAACTGGATGGTGTGACAAGAAATTTACTTCCAATCTTTTCTGGAAAACTCAAACAAAATAGTAGAAATTATAAAGGGAAAATGCCCTAAATAGGAGTATATGAAGTTTGGAATTCCAAAATTGGACTACTATGTTTTTCTTCCTCAAATAGGAGTTGTTACTGCCATGTATGACAAATACTACCATGATTAAAAAATATAGTCATTAATTATAATAAATACTTGGACTTCATAAAAACACATAATCATGAATTCATCGTGAAAATAAAAATGTAGCAGGCAATTAATATTTCTTGGCTAAAAAGCCTAATTAGCCGCTCACCAAGATGTTGGGGAGTTTGATGTTGTTTCGCTAATCTTTTTAGGAATATAATATAAACCCAATTGAGCATATCAAGATGGATTATAAACGTGGACATATTTAAAATTCCTTGAACCTGTGCACCACTTGTTTGATTTAAAATGATTTCCATGTTAAAAATCTTTGAAATTGCAGCTTTAAAAAACAGTAGTTCTTGATAAGGTGAAGACTTGTAATATTAAAGGCCTTAAGGAATTGTTTGGAAAGCTTAAAGATCTTAAGTTATCATCTGTTTCAACCTAGAAAGATTCTTACTACTCTGGAGGAAAAGACTACATGAGTAGCTCTCAGGTAAGTAAAAGGAAACAATGAAAGGATACCTCGAATAAATAGCGGCCTCATTGATCCCAATTGTAAAAAAATTAACGAAGCAATGATAGGCTCACAATCCCCAGACAAATAATTCTAGATCATAATCCATATTAAACCCTAAAAACAAAGCGTCTTAGTTTCATACAGAAAAACTCAGATAAAGCACACAAGCTATTTATTTAATAATAATCAACATTTAGGTAATTACCTTAGCGCCAAGAATGGGGAGAGACAGTACCTAGAATGAATAAAAATCAATAAACACCAAAACGATGTCGAAAACCTGTGTGAGATGAGAAACTTTGTAAGCAGAGAACTCCAAATAATATATACTTTAAGAATCAAATGATGATAACAGTTCTTTGCAGTTTCTATATGACATTCCAAAGGTTAATAAAAATATGCAAAATCTCATCACTAAGTAAATATATCTGGTATATACCCCCAAACATCTTTACTCTCGACCTTTTGCTCTTTCTTTAAACTAATACTGTTATCCAGAAATCTCAGAAAGCCCAGCGGCTAATCCCTATATAACTGAATGTGGAAAAAATGGGGTTTTAGATGACATATCCACATTTGATAAGCAGGGGAGAATTCTCCACATTTAATAAATATTTACTAAGCAATGGAGAATGGGTAGAATTGCTTCTATTGATTAGTTGGGGGCAAAAATGAAAACTAAAATCCTATCACCATTAATAAACTTATATTGAAGGTATGTTATGTTGGAGGTTGATAGGAGTGCTAAAGACTAACAATTTTTTACCATCTTAATCTGCTCTAGGGCATCTACTGAGATGGAGTATTTATGGTTTCCATTCTAGAGAATCTGCCTAAATTCCAGCCCTAGCTAAAGGCATAAGGGTTGGAGTATGAGCCTCTAACCTGTAACCCAAACACTTCTTGAGTTATTGGTCCATCGTTTGGAAAGGAAGTAGACAAAAGAATCTGGAACGCAGAAAGGGATTCTTTAATTGCCACTACTCTGCTAGCTCCGCACCCATTTGGGCCAATACCAAGAAACACTTATAAAATCCTTGGTCAGTTCCACCCGCTAGAGTAGAAATGATGGAAGGGGTGAGCAAATTTAAGCAAGAAACATAGAAGCTGAAAGGAAATATACCTGGACGGTGGGCGTCAGAAACGGGAACAATGGGAGAAGCTCAGTGAGGTCAGGGTACGGACGGAGCGAGCTGTGTGACCCCAGGTTTGGGAGTCGTTGGGAGATGAAGGAAACATGACGGAATGTAAACGGAAAATAAATTCCTTAAGAAGAGTACACATCATGAAGGATATGGTACAACCACATAAAGCTAGAGGATTACACCAACATTTTTTTTCATCTCTAAAATGCCCTAACCTTGATTGGTGTTTATAATATTTTAGATATATATATATATATATATATATATATATATATATATAGATTTAGATTCTAATGAGAACACTCCTTAAAATGAGATGTGAGAACAAATCCAGGCCATCAAAAATCTCAGCAGATCATCGATCGATTAACTGGCAGCGAAGGCTATTTTAGTATCTATCAAAAAGCACCGTTTTTGTAACCGACTCTGGAGTAATTCGTTCGTCCGAGGCATTGATGGAAGGAATAACTTCCATCTTATTTGATTTTATTTCTTACGTCAATCAAGTTATCCAATTATAGAAACAACATCTTTTTCCTTTTTTTGAAATTCTTCTTCGTTCTTCATACCGTCTTGCTCGACGATCGTCTTGGCCTCCATTTGGAAGGTGTCGCGTGTGTACCGTACGATGAAGGAAGCCATGGAACCAGGTTTTTATCTTCCAAATTTACGTTTCTACTATAATTTTGATATACGTATGTATTATAATTGTTGAGATCATGTTTTGTATAAAACATGTTTCCGTGTGATACATGACTTCTTACAGTAAAAAATAATCTTTTATAACAAGAAATATTAACTCGTTTTGTATTTTGTATTGGATTTTAGTTTCACACGTTTCACTAGTTCATGCATATGTTGCATGCATGAGATGCACATCTACAACTATTTTTTGTCTTTTACCGTAGGAGAATCAAGTCATTGTGAAATTTCTCCCGGTATGACTAAGTATTGGATTCCAGAATGTCAAAGTGATAGGAAGCCCGCTGTTGGTATGGTATTCACTAGTTTACAACATGGTATTGATTTCTACAATGAATATGCATCTTTATGCGGCTTTGATCCCCGACTTCATTCCCAAAGGAAGCACAAATCTGGTTTGATTTTATTCAAATATGTTGTTTGTAATCGTCAAGGTTTTAAACCTGACAAGGTTGTGCAGAATGAAGGGACTATTCCCACTGTTGATGATTTATTTCAAAATGCTAATCTGGAAAATACTCTTGATCCATGCATGGATAATTCTGATATTGATGATATTGTGTCATTGTGTGTGGAAGATTCTGATCTCACGTCACCCGCACCTTCAAATCACTGCACTTTAGATGATGAGTCAAATAAAAGGCGTCGTGTATCTACCAGAAATGGTTGCAAAGCATGTGTTGTGTTTAAATATTGTGGGTATGGTTGTTACTCTGTATTTAAGTTTGAAGAACGTCACTGTCATCGTATGCTTGAAGAAATGCATAAACAATTCCTTAAGGTGAATAGAAACCTTGATTTTGGTCATAAGAAATTCATCATCAATTGTGCTAAAGCAAACATTGGTCCGATGAAGTCTTATAAACTCTTTAAGGACTCAGTAGGTGGATATAGCAACATTGGTGCAACTGCTGTCGATTTCAAAAATTTCAAACGAGATCTTAGGGCATACATTGAGGGTGTTGATGCACAGATGTTGATTGATAAGCTATTTCGGAAGGTTGAAGTGTGCTCTTCGTTTTTCTTTGATTATGACGTGGATGAGAATGATCAGTTGACCAAGATTTTTTGGGCGGATCCAATTTGTAGGCGAAATTATTCTTATTTTGGAGACGTGGTTTCTTTTGATGCGACGTTCCGTACGAACAGGTATTTCTTTCATCGTGATTTGTATTTTAGGTTGCACTATAAAATACCTACGATGCTAAACACTTGTTTTATGCTTTTGCAGGTATAATTTGGTTTTTGTGCCATTCACCGGTGTTGACAATCACAAAAAGTGTGTCACTTTTGCTGCTGGTTTATTGTCAAAAGAAGATGTAGAGTCATACGTCTGGCTTGTATCACGGTTTATTGATGCAATGGGTAGTGTACCAATGTGCGTAATAACGGATCAAGATCCAGCCATGCGCATTGCTATTCAGAAGGTAATTCCTAATGTAAAACATCGCTATTGCATGTGGCATATAATGAACAAGTTGACTACTAAAGTGGGCCCTGTGCTTAGTAAGGATGTTGATTTTTTGACAAGGATTAATAGTGTTGTTTGGAGTAACTACCTTGAGCCTTCTGTTTTTGAGGAAAAATGGAAATCTGTTATGACCGATTATGACCTCTTGGAGCACCAATGGTTTGTTGACTTGTTTAATCTTCGCAAGTTTTGGATACCTTCTTATTTTAGGGATTTGTTCCTGGCTGGTTTGCTTCGAACAACGTCACGGTCAGAAAGTGAAAATAATTTCTTCGGTGAGTTTACTAACCCTCACTTTAGTCTCATTGAATTTTACATGCAATTTGAAAGTGCAATGGATGCTCAACGACATAATAATGATAAGCTAAATTCAAGTTCTGATGCGTACATTCCTGTTTTTAAGACTCCCCTAGCCATTGAAAAGCATGCTTCAGAGGTGTATACGGTAACATTTTTTTATTTAGTGCAAGAGGAGATTGCATCAGCTTGTTTTAGTTGTCATGTGCTTAATGTGCATGAGAATGAAGAGAATGTGGAGTATGTAATTAAAGATGATCATGGTATGACATTCAAGGTACAATTCAATGTTTCTGATGTCAAAGCGTTTTGTGAGTGCAAATATTTTCTCCGAATGGGGTTGGTTTGTAGGCACATGTTCGTTGTTTTCAAATATTTGAAGCTTACTACTATTCCTCATCATTATGTCGTATCTCGATGGTGTAAAAAACGTCTTCTGAAACCTGTACATGGTATAGGAGATGTTGTTGTTCAATAGTGCATTGAAATTGAAGAGAAGAAAAAACTTTTGCACCATGTGTGGTCTGATTTGCACTCTTGTGTTGCTCTAGCTGAAAAAGATGCAACGAGATTAAAACAATTTGCAACTGTTATTAGGCATCAAAAGAATGAGCTTATGTTGGCAGACCGGACTGATTCAGTTCCCACAACCAAGGATTCCATGATTCAGGATTTTTATGGAGCTAGTACGCCTGCTGAAGTTAGTGTGTTTCCTCCTCAAAAGGCCAAGAATAAAGGATCTGGTCGGAGAATAAAAGGTGCACGGGAGGCGTCAATTGAAGAAAATAAGAAACCAAAGAGATTGTGTAGGTCATGTAATGAAATGTGTAATCATGATAGTAGAAATTGTCCTTTAAACAAAAACAAATAAATTGAACAATGTCATTTTAATTCTTATTTTATATTGATTAATCATTTCTCTTTTTACTTTTATTAACTCTTTATATGTAATGTTAGAACGTTTATCCAGATAATATTGAATTGTTAAGTGAATGTGCACATTTGCATTATTTTAAATATTTTCGGTCATTCAATTCTTATTTTAGCGCGTGACTTGAATTCCTTATCTAACAATAAATAATTGATGACTTCAATTCATCCATCTTGAATAATTTTTGTGTATAAGTACGTCTGATTCACAATATCATTTTTTTGTCAATTGAGTTAATAAATTTCTGAAAAACATTACTTAAAACAATTTTCGGATACTTCAGTAGTAACCTTTGAAATATCATATGTAATACTTAAACCAGTGCTGTAAACACACATTTTGGAATCTGTGCTGCACAATAAGATCTACGCTTACTCAGGCATTTCTCTTGTGGTCAATAAATATAATTCAACTACTTTTGACAATATTCAATCCAATAATTCAACAAAAACTAAACAGTACTGAAATCCAAAAAACATAAAAACAACAAAGTCATCTTGAACATGTTTTTAAAGCCCTTCCACATCATTAAAAATTAAAGCCCTTCTCATGGTCGTGGTTTTTTCCCTCTCGCTTTTTCTTTCTTCTTGCCGTACTCACGTGCCTGATTAAAAACTTCCAATTTCAGCTCGTTTGCATCAGCATAAAGCATAGCAGCAACATACTTAAACCGTAGTGATGCAATCTTCTTCTTGTCGTTTTTGCCCAGCCCGCACTCCCAACCTTGTACGCCTTCGCCTTTATACGTCTCCATATGCCTCATGCAGTAAATTCCATAATCATCACTGTTTTTGGCATCCCTCCATTTCATGACCAAACGTTTTGGTTTAACACTTTCGAGCATGGCGGCCTTTGTCTCCAATGGGCTATATTTCACATACTCTAGAAGCATATCTCGCTGCATAAATGCACAATTGCATTAAGTGTAATTTATTTGGAATTAGTAATAAATATGCATTTCTATATTTATTTTACTTACAACAATTTCTCCCATTTGACCATATCTATCTCCTTTGGCGGATGAGCTATCCAGTATTTCAACCTTTTTGTTTTTCAGATTCACACATACAACGTACATATGGTTAGGCTGCTCAATGGGCACAAAAACCTGCACAACAGCAATAACCCACAACTAATTATGCTTTCTTTCAAATGCATACAGTTTGACAAAAAAAATTACCATGTCAATGTCACTGAGATTAACAAACTCTTTCATCACATCCAAAGCCTCTTCCATGCCATCTCCAAACAGTAAAAAGCGTTCGGTCGTTGTCATTTTGCTTCCGTCCGTGCTGTACACCTGATTTTTTAAATATAATTTACGTTGTTAGTAATTCATCTACCACACTCAATATTTGTGAAAACGTGTACTTACGCAAGGAAAGGGCTTTGTGAAAATCCGACACGGTGAATCATCACTCTTGTGCTCTTCTCTGCTGTTCAACACAGTGGCCCAAGTCCTCAGTACAACACTCTGAATATGTCCACTCCCTTTCATACATTTGAAACCAGATTTTGGCACACTCAATCCCTTGCATTTAAAAACCACCACCTCACTGCAAAATTTGCTCACACTTAGTAATTTTTCCAATTAAAATTTTATTTTAAATTTGTCTCACATTTAATTAACTAAATGTCACAAATTATACAATTTATAATATTTTCTTATTCTTACCTGTCCCCAACAGAATCCAGTAAGATCCACGACCAAATAGCCTTTTCTACCGCCGAAAATGCTTCATTTGGGTCAACAGTTCTACTAATGAATGGCGATTTATGAACAACCGCTGTTTTGAGCCTTCTTCGAAGTCTGTCATCAACTGTTACAGTGTCCCCCTGTTTATTTAAAAAATTGTAAATGAATCGATTCTTTAAGTATTTCACATTTCACAAACAAATAATTAATTACAATTTTACCTCTTTATTGGGTTTTGTGTGAACCACCACTTGACCTTCATTCACCTATAACAATTTATACCTTATGTCAGTAATACACTCTATTCATATCTAACATCGTCAAATAGACACATTATGTACCTCTGCATTGTTCTTGTGAATATTGTTTTCCAACATTCTCCCCTCCTCATTCTCTTTTTCAGCCTGTGTCAACCCTAAGCTAAAGGTAGGAATATCCTCAAGCCTGCGTTTATTCTGAACCCTTTTCAACTCATCTCTTTCAGCCTCCTCTAGTGCATATAAAGTCCTAGGATCTGACCAAAACAATTGGTCCGCTATCTCATCTTCATCTAGCTGCCTTGGTGTCTCTGTTCGGCTTTCTGTCTGTTTCTGTGCTAATCCAATCAGCACTTTCGCCACTTCCACAATTTTGATCATATTTTCTTTCACTTGAAGATCACTTGGCCCTTGTTCAATCAAACTCACCATTTCAATTGCTATCGAGGCTAACATGTCAGATTTAGCCTCCAATTTGACAATGACATCCTGTCAAAAAATACACATAAACAGTTTTCATGTTTCAAAATGCATTACATAATGTAAAATATATACTGCCAATATCACAACTTTTACCTCTTCACATGTGTCCTGTTCGTCAGTGCCTCGTACTTGTGCACTAGTCCCCGCTACAGGCTCTCCTCTGTCATTGCTTCCCATCTCTTCTCTTCCCTTTTTCTCTTCCATCTTCATCTGCTCATCAATGTAACCCAAACCAAATCCTCCTCCCTTAACCTCTGCATTTTCTCTTGCTCTCAAGTGACTTGTTGTCCATCCAACAACTGCTGGAAATGTCCTCGGGAATGCCTTCTTGGAAAGCACCACTCTGTCTGCATAAAAAACCTGCATTTTTTTTTGTCAGTACACATTTTCATTATATATTAACTGATTGCATCTTACCATTAAAAACAATATTGGTCCGGTGAAGATCTTGAATTTGTTATGCTCCCATGCCTCTCTGTTATCAATTAATGAAGACAACACAAACTCGCACCAATTCAGATCCTTTATTCCTTCTATCGTGTCGAGATTGTTTATGATTTGATGGTTGGCATATCTATTTTGATAGCTATCGATTACCACAGATACGAGCAGGACCAAGAAATGCCTTATGAACCATATTCCGCCCTCAGTACACTCCAACATCGCCTTGCATACTTCTGTCGGAGTAATCTGATTCTCATTCTTCTTAAATAGTGCTCTCCACTCATCTAGCACCTCACATTTTGCTAATCTATGTTTTTTTAGTATAGGTTTGCTGCCTCATGGAAATCCGAGCACTATCTGCACATCCTCCTCCTTGATTTGCACACTGCCATCAAGTATTTCCAGCTTGCAGTTTTTCGGATTGAAAGATTTCAACACCCAATAAGCCAGCTTTGAAGGTATCTCTGGTGTTTCCAACCTTAACATGCTTCCAAACCCAATTCTTTCAACTTCAGTCTTTTGCTTGTCATTGAATTGCTTGACTGCTCTCACAAATACATTTGGTGATGATCTGGTTTGAAGTGTTGGCAGCCCTTCCTTCATCAGCGTAATTTTCCCCTTCTTTCTTTTCTTCACATTGACCACTTCATCACGCACACTACATTCTGCTCTCTTTGTCTTTTGTATTGGTGCCTCTTGAAAGTCATCATCACTCTCGTGAATCACAGTGTCACCAATGAGCTGACCGCCCACCTCTTTGTGTTGTTCCTTGTATTGCAACACTCCAGAAATTGTTCCACGCTCACCATCCACTTTTTGTGCAGCTGAAGCCTGTTGAATCCTACCACTACGACGTGGGCTTGGTGACGAATTTCCACTTTCAGAGCAAACCAAATACACATGTTTGGCACGCTTGTTCAAGTCAACCTTTTTTACCACTATTGTACCTGTACAATGTTAATCATTAAACACTTTACACGTATGAATGTAAAAACTCGCATTCACAAATCCAAGCAACACAATTTTGGAATATCAATGCCACTTTACCTTGGCTTTGCACTTGTTCATTTATTTTTGCAACTTCTTTTGAAGTTTTTTGCATTTTGCTAGCCACACGAGCACCATCTTCCTTTTCGTTTTGCTTCCCCCTGTACATCGTTCCATGTTCATGACCTGCATGCACAATGAATCACTATTATGAGAACACTTTTGTGCCAAAGATAATACCCCAATATTGTATTTTGAAAAAATTCCAATAGAGTTTAAAATACACTTTTTTAAGTTAGGAATGCACATTTACTCTTGTTTACTAAAGCTTCGTATAACAAAATTCTAAGGAAATGTCTACTGTACTTATTACACTCAAAAATCTATATTGAGAATCTAATATACAGTCTTTACCCCCTCCCTCCCCTCAAATTTTTAATGCATATTTACTTTTGTTTATTACACTTTCTCATGTTTTTATTCAGTTCAAATACCATTGTACACAAAATGGATCCTTTTTTTGCACATTCTCAAACTTATTACAGCAAAAACTTCAAAATAATGTCTACTCCACTTATGTCAATCTAGTATGCACAATTGTTGTCTCTTATTTTCACGTACTACTAACTCCTTTTTAACTCCACTGGTACATAAAACAAATACAACTTTCACCACACCTTTTAAGATTTCATATGCACATTTATTCTTCTTTATAACAGTATTGTTACTTATTATTCCCGTGGAGTACAACATCACACCAAATGCTCCCATATATGCACAATTTGTTACTTTTGAAATAAACATATGAAAATGCATCCCTACTGCACTTATGACACCCATTACATTCACAAATTTCTACTGAGACTTGCACTACTAACCAAACAAAAAATTCCCTTAAAAAATCCCCCAAAAGTACACAGCAAACATTCTTCACAACTAAATCACCAAATTCAACCTTTCCAAATTAAACTTCAAACGTAGTATTCATATTTGAAGCTCGTATCATCCTTACAACATGAACAAACAGCAAATTCGCATACCAATAAACAAACCCCGAATTCAAATTCATATACACTATTTGCATGTGCACACAATTAACCCTAATCCGACTACTTGTCTACGGATGTAGTCATGCACAATTGTATTACACTGGGACACAACAATTTACAGTTCAACCACTCATATCATCAAATAATTAACAGTAGTATACATATATTTTAGACACACTTCGTCTTCCAACTTCCGCACAATAAAGTGTATACTTCACAAACGTACCTTCTTCATCGGCTATGCTCTGGTTCATCATCGCATACTCTTCTTGAACAGAGCTCATTTTCGTCCTTCTCTTGCACTCTTGGCTCTGGAAAACTTTACTACTTCAAATCGATGCCGAGACAGTATATTGGTACTCTCGCACATCAATTTCGGTAGTTACCATTTTTAATTCTCTTTATTTTTGTCAGTCGTGTGATGAATGGAAGCTCTTGCGTGATTATGGCTAGTTTTTCGGGAAGTGGAAACAAGAAAACGGAACTCCAGAGAAGGTATCTTTTCCCAAGTGACTATTATACCCTCCACGCACGCGGTCTCTGGTTTTTTCTGTTCGTAAGATGCAATTAGGTGTGACGCAATGTAGGAATTATTTGTGCACCTCATACCGTTTACACCGTCCGTTTCTTAAAATTGAAGGCCTGGATTTGTTCTCACATCTTATTATAAGGGGTGTTCTCATTAGAACCTAACCCTATATATATATATATATATATATATATATATATATATATATATATAGATAAGAGATCAAATACAAACCATGCTTAAAATACTAACCTACAAACTCAATAATATGCAACACTTTGATCTTCAATATGCAGTACAAATAATATGCAGCACTTTGAACTTCAATATGCAGTACAAATAATGTAAAGATGCACAGTTTGTGACAGTTTGTAGGTTAGCATGGGATGACTAGTTTGTATGTGATCTCACCCCTATATATATATATATATATATATATATATATATATATATATATAAGAGGAACTTTTAAAGAGCATACATAGTCCCGCATAACCGTGCCATGTCATCAAATATAACAATTATTTAATTAGATTTTATACCTTTTATTTTTTTATTACGTTCTATTTTTATTACATGTTGATATGGAAATCCAACGTACATGTAGGCAAATTTTAATTTCCAAGTTCAGAATTTAGAAACCAAAAGCCAACATAGGGATGTAGGTTATATACCATATCTAACTCTAAACTTTAATGACCCCCATGGGAATCCAATTTGATTGGATCTGCAATATTTAATTGAGAACTTCTCAACATTAGTTTTTATTATGTACACTGCCTCTTCAATTCACATCCATTAGGCTATACTTTATGTTTCTATATTCAAAATTTAGAAACATAAAAAACTAAGTATAGTGCGTATGTAGGCTATTATAAAAACAAAGAGAATGTAAACTAAAGAGTATTTCACTATTGACTTTCTCCTTCGTTTGAAGAATTCTATTGTATAGTGTTCTTATATCAAGAATGTCATCACAGTAAGTTTCTACATCATTTTTAATGATATATTATTGAACACTATGTACATATGATACTTTACCATTCACATGTTTATGATGCATGATATTATGCATTATACCTTATTGGTTAATATTCCATAAATGCAGAAATTAATCTCTAATATGTCAACTTGATACATCCAAGTCTGACTGGACAATCAAAGTTCGTGTTACGCGCCTCTATGATGTCATCAATCACAAAAGGCAATGCAACTTAATTTGTTTAGACATGGTTCTAATTGATGAAGAGGTATACTTTTTTTTTTAAATTTCAAATTTTTAAATGCACCTATTTTACACAAAAAACTAATGATATTTTTTTTATGATTGTAGGGTAATTATGTTCATGCATCTATACGAAGTGGATATGTTCATACATTACGCCCCAAAATAAAGGAAAGAATGATACCCATCATAAAAAGTTTCTCTGTGGTTCCAAATAGAGAAGGGTATCGTGTTGTATCTGATAATAAAATCATGCTACAATTCTTCCATAACACTGTCATCAAAGAAGTCAAAGGAGAAGCAATTGAAGTGCGGAATTATAAATATGACTTCATATCTTTAAACAATTTAGAGAGTTGTCTTGGGAGTAAAAGTATCTTTTGACAGGTATGAAAAAATATAAAATTCTCACTTTTAAAAACCTACATTTAATACTATCTTGGAAGTATAAATTTGACTTCGTATCTTTCAACAATTTAATTTGTCCAATTGAGAAAAGAGTTTTGACATTTTAAAAACTACACTTTTAACATTTTCAATGTGAAAAATAATGAGTAAAATAATGAGTAAAAGCATTTGAATTTCTCACTATTAAAATTAAAAAAAAAATTATGCATACCATTCGGACAGAACATAATCAATTTCAGCATAATCAGTCAATTCGATCAATTTTATTATTATCAAACGGGCTCTATATTAGATTGAAGGGTTGTTTACTCCTTTTCTATTAAGTACTATCTAGATTAAGACGTCGGTGTAGGTTAAAATGTACGTGTGCAGTTGTTTATTTTGTATGCTGAATAAACAGTCTGAAATCTGAATCAAGTTAAATAATCAATTTAGTATTGTTCTTAGATTATAGTGTCAATAAAAAACTCCATTTATTAATATAAATTTATTCCACAATCAACTTTAAAAAATCACATTTAAAATTAGCTAAATTATGTACTACCCGTGCATCGCACGGGCTTGAAAACTACTCCGTAGTTACTAAATAAATTTAAAACGGAGAAAGTACTATATTTGTTCCTAAGTTTATTCCCACCGTGAATGTACTAAAAATACACGATTTGATACTCCGTAAAATATACGAGAAATACACATCAAATTATACTTATCAATATTTTGGCCTTGTTCAATTTTTATTACCTTAAATAATGATGTGAATTGTATGGTACCATGATTATATCTAACTTAGTCAAATGTTATAATAATTTGATGGCTCCCGAAATATGGAACGGATGGGATACTGATGTCTAATCTAACAACATTATAATTGTAAATAAGGGTTGGTACCCTTGATTTATGTCAATACATTCTATGCATAAGAACTTGTACATTGTTGTTGAAAAACTGTACCTTACTTTTCACGTTACTTGTTTAGCCTTTACACGCCGTTAACTATTTTTCTTCCGTCAATTATTTTGATTCGCCTTCCGATGGTGGCTGCCTGGCCGGTGGGATGACAAAGATTCCTTTGGAAAAAACTCATTCTTCTGATTCCTTTGTCCCCATTAACTTCAATAACGTAGATTGCTTGTATGGTAGATAAGTTGTGCCACCAATGGGCATCACAATAGTACTTTAGATGATAGCAAGAAAAGTTATGATGGGTACTTTTGGGTTAGTTTTTGGATATTTGATATTTTGATTGGAATTACTGCATGATCAGTGAATAGAGTTAAGATTATACGGAGTATGAAACTTCTCCCCTTTGTAGTTCCGATCCAGTTAACTTTGTTATACATTTCAATTGCTTTATTTTTTTTTTTTTTTAGATTAACTTTGCATCAGATTATAATGCAACGTGTGCTTGTAGTTACTTCCATTTTAAAGAGTTGTGATTTGATTCATGATTTGTGTTGATTCCAATTGGTAATGTATTGCTTGTTGTGATTCTACAAATTAGATTGTGGAACGCTTTGAATAAAAAAATTAAGCTTTCAAATTCACCCACACTTTTATCGAATAAGTTAAAGTGATCAATGACACCACAATCACAAATTCACTACAACTTTCACTACAACTATTTCATATACTAAAAAAAAGTAGATAATTTTAGAACCACATAATTTTAAAATATGTAATTTCACAATATACAAAAGATATTAAAAAATCATACACTATTTCAAACTCTTGCGTAGTATTATTAATATCGCATATAATATGAACCCTTATAAATAGGTAAAATAATTATATACAAAAAAACTTTATTATTGGGCAAAACTGTCGCGCCTTGCGCGACAAAACGCTAGTATTACAAATACGATAGTACGAAGTATTATTTTATGCGTAGATAAGACCTTTCCTCGTCCTTCATACTCGTATATTTTTTTTGAAAGAAGAGACTTAATTATTATTAATAATGAAAGTAACAAGAGACAAAACAATACAATAGCTTAATAGTACACCGGGGTGAGACATAGAATTGACTAGTCTTTGAGGACATGTCAAATTCGCTAATACCGCATTATGGTAGCATAATCTAATAGTATTGCTGAACTTGCTACTGCAATGATAAAAAACTAAGCAAGAATTCTTTAAATAAAAGTGACCAAATAATTCAAGCATCTCAATTTAACCACCATCAGGTCGGGATAAGAGGTTTGTTCATCCACCTTCAAAGGAAGCATCCCGTTTTTACCAGCTACAGGGAAGGGAGAAGAGGTTTAACCGGCCACTTCCAAAGGAACCATCTCGTTTACGGGAAATGTCTGTATTTTAGGTGATGTTGTTCTGGGAGCACCGTCTGCTTGCCGTTTTTTATCCTTTCCAATCAACCTCTTTCATTGACATCCAATCATAAGCATGATTTAAGCTCTCCATTAATGATCAACAAAATGAATGTCGATTCCGAGACGGAGAAAAAAAAGCAGTAGAATTCACGAACAAAAGCACAAACACGTTCACAACTGGAACGGACCAAACCCTAGACAAGAGAAAACTCAGCCGGGCGAAACAAAAATGAGCAGAAAATTAGTCGAAAAGAAATCCCATGAGAAAACATTAATTACCGTAGCACATTATTAGAGCCTTGCCGAGCTGCTGATGTGCCGTCGCACCGGGCAAGACCATGAAGACGGGCTGCTGTGCGACTGCTAGGGTTTGGTCATTAGGCTTCAAGGTCATTAGATTCTTATAAACTCCTCTTTTGATATTCTCTGGTGTTTTGTATATTAAAAATGTGTTTTATATTTAGATATCAATAGTCATAATTATGTTCAATTGTATGTATATATATAAATAATTTCAACTTCTTACCAATTTCACAAAAACAAAACAACATAATTGATGTTGGGTTTCGCAACCATTTCATTATTATTACCTCCATCCCACTAACATTGAAACTTGAGAAGATGGTACACTTATTAAGAAAAATGAATTTATGTGGTTGATGTTGAATCGATAAAGTGATTTAGAACCACGCAAACTTTATCAAATTTGATATAGGACAATCTTCATGGGACGGACCGAAAAGGAAGGGTGATACAATCTTAGCGGGATCGGCGAAGAGAGTATAATATAAGCCTTTTGCAAAAAAAACAGAAATTATTATCATGAACTTTTTAGTACGGAACGTTTAGTAAAATTGAGACAATATTAGCGGGACGGGGGAGTATAATATAAGCCCTTTAGTCCTGTACTATACACAATTAATGTATACAATATAAAGTATAAAAAAGACCATTATCCACTGGAAACCATTATACTATTTTTTTAAAATCAAATAACTAATTTATTATAAAGCGATAGCAAAAATACAAGAGAATGAATAGCCTGAGGCTACAGTGGAATGAGACATAGAACGGAACAGATTCAATGAGTCCTTCCAGATCGCTAACCCCGCAATAATGTAGTCTAGTCTAACAACCTTGCTGATCTTCTTGCTACTCCAAAGAGAAATTAAAAAATT